GCCAAGCTATATAATCTTCATACGAGTAAAATAATCATATTAGAAATTATAATGGCCGTTGGCTTGATAAATAATTGTTATTAAAATTAATAAGATATTTATATTAAACCATCATACTTGGCCCTTTATTAAAAATCATAATACATAATTAATGAACTGTTGAAATCGACTGAAAAAGTAATTGAAGAAAATTTGTTTACTTTATATATTTTGAAATATATGAGTATATTTAACGGTACCAATATTTATATTTAAGCCTACTATTATAATCCATAGACAGGTATTTTGAAGTCATTAACTTAATACAATTCAAGAAATAAGTTAATTTGAACGTTTCATTATTTTCGTATATTTGTAACTACTTATATAAAATTTGAATTTGGTCAAATTGATTATCAAGTTTCTACACATATATATATATTTCGTTATTCGAAAGTCGAATAGTCATATATTGCGTGTTTCTATATATATATATATATATATATATATAGTGTGTGTGTGTGTGCGTGCGCGCGCACGCGCGAATGCTTTATATGTTTGTGTATTACATACATTACAGTAATAATGTTATATTTTCATGTTGTTATATTTTTAATTATGGTTCAAATAATTTATAAGTTGGTAGTTGTATATTTCTAATACGAATGTTGGCCATCGGGAATTTGAGAATTCCTTATACGACTTCGTTAATCTAATACAATAAAAAATAAAAACTAACAACGTACATCATAACCGTATGTACGTAGTATTGAACATTTGTACTCGTGGTAAACCAACTATGCCCATCATTGACCACACCTCAAACAATTAACAATTAGGTATTTTACTCATTGGAATCATAGAATAACGTGTGTATGTATAATAATTGTGCTGAGTACGTGTAAATAATTATAAAAAGTATAATGATAAAAATTTAAATAACTACGACAATATTAGATTATTGTTCGAGCGAGGCGTGGATCAAGCTTAGGTTAACGGGAAGAGCGGGTTATGAATAAGTAAACATATTTAGATACCTACTGATAAATACAAGTTTTTTATTTTATTTGCAAATATATATATATGCAATAGTAAGTTTTTCTTTTGTAAACCACATTTCATTTTTTATTTCAACTGTTTTGATTAAAATTTAAAATCTACCTTTTTCTTATAAAACACCAATTCAAAATTTCACAAAAAAATATATAAAAATTTGAAATTTTAAACTCAAAACATTTATTAGGTATGAATTAGATAGCAAAGTCCAATATTATGATTGAGCAAATATGTTTACAATTTCATCGTGGTTTATAATCATAGGCTTGCGCACACCTATATTTCACGGCATACCACAATACCTTTGGTCCCTATTTTAACAAAATGTGTAGGTACATTTAATAAATTATAATGTATAAATAATTAAATAAACAGAACTTTAATTTTTTATTTAATTTTGTGGTATATTAGTCCCAATGAATATGTTTTCCTTGAGTCTCATATATTTTCTTTAATTATTTATGATTTGTAGTTTTGATGTCAATCGTAGCTATTATATTATCACAATAAGATTTTGCATGAAAATTTAGTAAAGTAAGTTTTGTTTTTTTTATTACGAAATCTAATTTATTTTTTACCAAATAATTTAGAATAAAATAAATTTCATTTCAGCAACATTAGTTAAAATACAGGCTTTTGAAATTAAATAACATTAAATAACACATTTTAATACAGTCAACGGGGGGAGAGGTCATCCCTCTGAATACACACTTGGTTTGAGCAACATTATACTCTCTAGTCCACTTGAGTCTTTTTACTAGGTCCATCTAACATATTACTAGTCTTTATTAGGTTTACTAGGTAGTCTTCAGACCACAAACCTGCCCCCAAAAAAATTATTATTAAAATACTTTTCCTTTCTAATCTCCTCTCTGGCACAATTGACTGTTCTCAAATTCTCCCCTTTCTTACACTATAATCATCCTCAACATATCTTGAAATTTCTCTTATCATCCATGTAATTGTAAGTAATGAAAATTTTTTTGTCAAATAACTTTAAATGATGGTCATTATTATCATTATTATAACTATTATTATAATTTTTATTTTTATATTGTATCTTACTTTTAAAGATACATTTTGTAATAAATTCTATTCTTTATCGTAGAACCACTTTTATCTTATACTTTTAAATTGGAGGCTTGACCGGCTCAAAAATAGTATAAAATAAGTACTTACTTATGTAAAAAATATTATGTTGAGTTGTGAAGAAAATAGAGAAAAGTGGCTCTTATAATCTCCTTACTATATTTTACACATAAAAACGTTACAAATTGTATAACTAAAAAACCATTAATAAAAATAAATTTTAAGCGCAATTTTTAAGTGCAATTTTGGGTATTTTTACTGCAATAATGCAATCAATTTTCAACGTTTTTTAGTGCAATAACTTCCGAGCCCTAGTTATAATATATATATATGTACGTTATTGAATTATTGTATAGAATTTTTTTTATGTTTTGTAATTATTGTTTATTTTAATTTTTTTTTTTTAAATACAAATTGACAATTATTAAAATATATAACATTCATGGCATACGGCAATGACATTTGACACTCCTACACATCGCACCATTTATGATTTATTTGTGATGGAAAAGAAGGGGGAGCAGTTCTTCTTTAAACCATATTATTTAAATTTAATTAAAAAATATATATAGTGAGTGGCTTTAGAGCAAAATTTTAAAACCACCCATGTCGAGTATCAAGTGTATTATGCAGGACTGAAAAAATTTTCTTTGTACGATACCATAGGCTATTGAACTGTTATTTTCAGAATATTATAAAATATTTATCTATATAATGACAATAATAATATTACTTTGACAGTACGTCACACAGTTATATTGCATTATTATATTACCAGTACTACAGAGTTTAAAATTTTAAATGAGCATAGATTTTATATTCCTTCCCAGATACAAATGTTAATAATAACTTAAGACAAAGTGGTTAAGACAATATTTTTGTCCATAAATATAAGGCTTAATATTTGGTGATTCGTTTGCGGAATGGGCATTTCGGTACGTTCGCCACGTGGATCGCAACAGCGTTTTTTTGGGAATGCAATGTTTGGTGCATACTGAGACTGGTTTTTGTTTAGTTTCGGCATTGATTAAATATATATAAATGTATATTTAATCAAAATGGTTTCGGGTTTTTAAAACATATTAGCGGCTGCAAAACGATTGCACAAAAATTGCAACACGATTGCGCCCCGATCCCTTTTACCTGTTAAAATAACACCATTGCGCACCAAATAATATGTGTATATACTATGTAGGACCTACATTGTAGATATAATAATTTAGGTACAACATAAAATTATGTATACAATACGTACTTTCTACATATAATTTTCATATACATGAATTCAAACTTATAACCTATTAATTCACAATTTTCCTTTCTAATTATAATAAGCTTAGGACTATCAACAAATTATCATCGTTGGCTTGTTTAAAAATTGTTTTTTTTCTAAATTATATGTATGCTAAATGTATTAATGACAAGGTCAATAGTCAAAATTATTTTTATTAAAAATTGTTTTTTTTTGTATACTGATAGTCATTAGTCGGTATTTTTATTATAACTATTTTTAGCTCATTCAACTTTTCATTTCGATTTTGAAAAAGTGCATTTTGTAAATTAATAGTTTGAGTGCATGTATATGCACATTATAAAAAGTTTGTATTGTACACATTATTTTATGTTGTACATAAATTATTATACCTACATAGTGTATACACTTATTATTTGGTGTGCAATGGTGTTGTGATTTTATCAGGTAAAAAGGGATCAGGGCGCAATCGTGTTGCAAATTTTTTTACGCAATCGTGGCGTAATTAGTCGTGTCAAAAAAGGGAAAATAGCGAAATCGTGTTACACCGCATATTAGCTACACCCAGGGGCGGAACTAGGAGATGGAAGATGAGGATTCATCCCCGGACGTAAAATATTATATGACGTCATTTTTGTAATTATTAACAAATAATTTGATATTTTTTACTTTGTTAGATACCGATATTAGGTTAAAACTCAATAAGTGTGATTGTACATTAATCGTAAGAAAAAAATTCTCGAGAAGAGTGTTTGATTGTTGGTCTATGATAGGGTGTAATTTTATCATCCTCCCCCGGGCTTAAAAATTACTAGTTCTAACTCTGGTTACTCCCGTGCATGTCGGAAAATTATGAGTTTACATATTGTTCTAGTTTTGTTGACATGTGCAATGGACTCGGGCTTTACGCGGCGAAACGGGTATGCAATTCGCAACAAAACTATTCTTCGAGCCCGCTTTCAGGGCAATGTGTGGCCACAGCAGCGGTTGCACTGACGACATCCGTGAGACAGTGCGGCCACGGGACAACGTTATTTCCGACGACCGGCGACGGCCGTGTCCTTTGAAGTGCGTGTGTGCGTGCGACACCACTCAACGTGCTGTGATTACGTCGGTTTTCCCTTCCGTGCGCGGTGCGTTTTTGAAAAATTATTCCAACGTACGAAAAAATTCCAAAGACCATACCGTCTCGCGTTGTTTACATCCTCATCGCCCACCTGCCGTGTGGCTCGTGAATTGGACTCGTCGCTGGAACGCATGCTTTCGGGACCCGCGGAACCTATTTAGACAACCATTCGTCCAACCGGTGAGAAAAACCGACCCGTTTAATTCATCGTTGTTGTGTGGTTCCACCTGGTACCTACGTGACAACATCTAGACACGTGTGCGGGGGAAACCATAATAATAATAATAATAATTATTATTATTATTATAACTAGTATTATTTTAATTACCTTCCCGGCGGCCGCGTTCGTCCAGGATTTGCCGCCCGCGAGATATCACAAAAATAATATCGTTATTGTAGTACATCCCGACGACGACGGCGATGATAAGCGTTTAATAAATATTATAGGTTATAATCCCCGAGAACGGTTTTATCATCATCGTCATCAGAGATAAGTGTAGTACATGTACACAACGTAATCGAGCCAGTGCGCCACTTGATTATGTAACCGACCGTCTGTGCATGTACATGTTGCGTTATTCAACGTGCTAGGCCTACGGTATCGTACCGTTTACCGTCCGTCTAGTATTCATTTCGTCATCGGTCGGAGCTGTCCCTGGGGTCTCCGTGTATTTTGTCGCCCTCCTTCCCTTGCCGAAGCATACGGTTTTCACCGCTTTCCACTCATATTCTTCGAAGGACGCTCATGCGGGGATTTTTATATCTGCTCGTTCTTTTTGAATACCGACCAATCATCTCGTCGTGCGGTCTTTTCCGTCAGTGGACGCCCTCAGTACACCAAGGTAACTAAACACGTGTGTTCTTACGTCTCGTACTGTCTTCTCGTACACATCACAACGGTTTCCGACGGTGTAAACAAAATCGTGTTGAATACCACCAACACTGCTGTAAAGACGGACGCCACTGTTTTGACCGATCACCGTCGTTGTTGCATTTCGTTGCGGTTGTCGCTCGTGTCAATCCGATGAATCTAAATTAATTCTTTTTTTACAGGTTTTATGGTTGATTCACAACGTTGCACGTAATCTTATTTATTACAACACATCATTCAAGATGCCTAAATCTGTGAGTTATTAATCTTTAAATTAATAATTAAAAATCCATACTAAATTTGTGTTTGCAATGAATTTGTTGAATAACTATATTTGGTTTATCAATAAAATCATGCCTGTTACATGAATGTTTAATTTTAGACAGTATTTATGGATTTTAATTCAACTTTTTTGTACTATGTATGTGCACATACACTCAAACATGTATAAACATTATGTATAGGTATATTTATTTATGTTAATAAAGAGTATAAATTTGATATATTTATTAAAAATTATAGTCTAGTTATGATGATGGATATGTTTTTGCTATATAATTAATACTTAAAAAAAATTAATATAGATATATTAATGTTGGTTAATGAGTTGTATAGACATTTTTTGGGATGTATTTATAACAAAAACTAAAAAAAAAAAATAATCTAAAAAAAACATTTTGAGACCCCTTCTGTGTTGGCAACAGATAATGTATAACCATCTGGTGAGTCATGATTCTGTGTCATTCCATAATTTTATCATCCTTATGTTAAGTAAAATCATTGATAATAAAATAAATAATAATATTTTATAATCAATGGTAAAACCATACATAATAGATGATGAAAACTATGTGTATCATTTATGTTTGTTAAACTTGAATTTGTCCATTAAGCTAAAATAAATAAACAATTTTTACTGTCCCAATATTAATACAAGTTATATAGCTATATATATATAATAATTTCATAGTAGTATTACTCCAAATCTTAATTATTTTTACTATTGTTAAACAGTTATATTTGGGATTCTTTAATCAAAAATGATGATAAGATATTACATAGTTTATATTGTTATTATATTTAACTTTATCAATGTATTAGGTAGTCTATGTATACATTTGTTATGATTTGTTTCATTAAATTAATTTATTTTTATACCAAATATATGTATTTTAATATATGTTATTATGCAGTATTGTATTATTTTGCTCTTTATATTTTAATTTATAAATGCTAATTTATTATATTTTTAATTTATATTGCTTTATTAATTTTTCTATATATTTGCATATCCAGTCAGTATTTCATGTAGTGTTAACATTTTTTAAATTTATTAATACCTAGTGTTTCTTTTATTTTCATATAATTATATTAATAATAGATCATATAATATTATAGATTTCTAATTTATAAATGAAACTATTTAAAATACTAACAATAAAATAATTTAATAACCTTGTTAATCTGTGTATAATAATGGTTCCATTGATTAAGGAGCAGTTGAGTATGATCATATTACATCAATGTAAACATTTTAAGCGTTTAAATTTTTTATAAGTATATAAATATCTAGAAGTTAATTAATTATCTTAGTAGATTTTGTGTAAAATGACAAAAAGTTAAAAACTATAAATTCCTATAAATATTTTGATAAGCAATATAATAGTTTATCAAAAAGTTATATTGAACTCCTTTGAAAATATTCTCATCTCAAAGTACCTATGGTTATTGCTGTTTGAATATACATGCAATAATTAAAATTCTACTGCCCATCTGTTAGAATGATAAATTGTATTTAAATTCATGGATTTCACATTTTTTTTTTTTTGTACAATAAATCACAATAATTTTTATCTCGTTTATAATTTAATATCAATACATATTTTACCATTTGTTGAGTAGGTATTGCCCTCAATACTTTACTACCAATAAAATTGCATACCACAAGAATTAACTGATAATTGTATCAATACATTTTTTATGGGCGTAATTTATACATTTTCTAACCATGTGATAACTGATAAAAATAATATGTATTAATTTTAATAATTGTATTGATGTCATTATTGTTATTTTTGCTATGTAAGTAAATAAACCATGGGATTTATGTTCTAATGTAATTACAATACTACCCACATATTTGGTTTTTTAAAATATTATTAAAGATTTGTATAGACCTACTCGATTTACATTTTAAACAATGGTTTTACAGTAACCACAATAATAATAATAATAATACTGATATTCTATATAACATACTCATATTTAAGAATGGAATACCGTGTCTTGCATCTTGTGATCCCCTTGTACATATATCACATGTTCAACATATCAACTATTCATATTAAGATAAATTTCATATGTGAGCATTTATGGCCGAGCAGAGTTAGGCATTAGTCAAATAAAATATTATTCGATTGATTATTTGAATAAAAAATTATTCCTCATCGATTTATTCTTAATTTTATTATTGATTTTTATTTTAATTTGTATTATTATTCGTTATTCCCTATAATCATATAAATAATAAATTTAAATCCTAAACAACGATGTATAATAATAATAGACTTATTATTTAAACTTAATATATATAAAGATAATACATATAATAATTGACAAAAATAAATTAAATATATTTTATTATTTAATATCATTATTTAATTAATATCATTCATGCTTTTATTTTTTATTCTTTTTTTTGATTTGTTTTTGCCCAACTCTATGGCCGAGTATAATATTTACGAGTTATTTTAAATTATACCAATTATTATAACTATTAATAACCAATTATTATTAATATTATAGGAGCATGTAACCATTTTAAAAAAGTTTGGTTGTTACAATTATTTACTTGGTTAATAAAATATTTTTGTCTATTCATTCCAAATATATATGCAAAATGTTAGTAATAACATATAGCAACTAATACATACTAAGAAATGATTTATTATTATTAATTTAATGGATATCATATTACATGTTTATGATTTTACAATTTTGTACAATAAAACAGAATCATTTTGTATAATAATGCAATCGAAAGTGAAATTAAAAATTATTATTAGGTCATTTTTCTGGTTATTTGAAGGACAGCAAATTATTGGAATGGACTAACTATGATATTACTCATAAAATAATCTGCTTTATTTAACTGGTTTACAAAATAATTCTAATGAATTGTATTAAATTTGCGGTTTATACTAGTAGTACTTTGTGCCGTTTCATTAATTAATGCAGTTTTAAATTTTCCATACGAGTTATTTTATCGAGATATTTTTGTTGCCGTTATCATTTTAATGATACATGTGCTTAATATAAAAAATGCAATATAAAAAAAACAATCAAAAAAGTATATGTAATTGCACACGTTTTAAATTTCATGAATAGTGTTTAAAGTTTTTAAAACATTAGATTGGTTTTATATAAAATTCCAAGAAATAATAAAAATAAATTATTCCCAAGAAATTATTACTAAAGAAAAATTCAAATGTATATCAATTATTTTCAATTTAAAAATCAATAACATCCATAAACTGCATTTTAGATGAATTAAGATAAATGTAATAAATTTAAAAAATGTATTTTTCAATTTTCTTGGATTTTTAAATGTTTTGTGACTAGCGTGTTTTTATTTATTAATATAAGAGTTGGGAATTTCGACTCAATTTAATGATTCAATTTCTTTGATTCTCTTCATTCTAACGATTTGATTCAGTGAATAAACTTCTATTTAATAAGTTCTTATCAACTTTATGTTTCATTTTAAATAATAATGAATTACCAATTCAGTGAACTACTTAGTTCAACTGACATAACTCACTAGTCATGAGCTGACAAATTGATAACATTAAGCCGGGAACTTATAAGAACCAAGGGTAACATAACAGATATATACAATTATATATTTATATATAGTGCGTATGAATATCTATATAAATCTGTGTAACACTGAATTATTGAATTATAGTACACTGATTCAACTCATTCGATTCACCTAAATGAGTCGATTCTTTGAATCAATTTATTCACAAACTACCCATCTCTAAATGTAACTGATAGATTATTTTAAAATTGTATTATTGATTATATTTCAAATTTGTATAATTAGCTTTTACCATTAAGTGCGTAAAGTATGTTTGAATTATTAAAACTTTTATAAATATAGATTTTAAAATGTTTTTAAAATTTGAAGTTTTTCTAAAAATAAGAAGTAAATTCTTATCAACTCCATGTTGAATAGTATATCTTATAGTCAAGGATACTAAAAGTACAAAAATAATATGCATAGCTGTAGTAAATATTTTTAAATCATCGATAAATAATCATAACGAATGGTTAAAATTAATACTTAATAGTTTGATGTTAATTAATGAGTAGGGTAAATTATCATATGTGCATATAATTATTTCCAATGTGTGTAATGCGAAACTACTTTACAGTTGAGCTGAAATGTTTTTAAAATATTAGAATTCAATTTTTTTAACAGGCATGATAACAAACTGCTTCTATAATTATACACATTGTATAATATTACCGAAAAATATACTGTTGTAATACATTTTAGATTTATAAATAATCGAATAAGTTAAACGTAATTTGAATATTTAATATCTCCCCAACATTTAATTGTAATTCATAGATTAAGAAATAACTATTTATGATTTTTTTCGAATAATAAGTACATATCATGTTGAAAGTTCAGGAATAAATTTATAATTATCACAAAATATTAAATAGTGTATTTTCATTGAAATTGTCAAATATATGCTCATAATATTTAATTTAATTTCTTGGTTTCAACTGGTTCCTTGAGATAAAAGACATTTTTTATATACTTTAGTGAACAGTAAATAACTGTTCTCTATATTTATCATTTTGTGACATTAATTGTTTTCCCTTGACCATTTCGTATATATTTAAAGCTAACATTATCTAATATTCTAATTAGGTGACATTGGTTAGTATCTACGGCTTAACCATGCTATGAGGGTACAAGAAATGAATTATAATAAAAAAGAATTAAATAACGGTTTAAATTTTTTTGTTCGAGTGCCTCGTTTCTTTTTTACTTTTATTGAAACTTAAGTTATTGTCTTATTAATCAATTCAATGGATTTTCCGTCCTTATAATCATTAATATTGTTGTTCATTTTGGAAATTTGTACGTTTTATATAATATTTTTTTTTTGAGAAATTGATATGATGTTTTGTTTTGAAATTACGTTTTGCAATTTTTAATTTTACTAACCTATCAACTTGAATAAACATTGAAAAAACTTCAATTTTTATTTTTGATCAATTGAAAGAAAATATATTTTACATCGTAATATAATAATTAATGCCTTCATATGTACTTTAATATTACAAAAAATCCTTATACCTTACAATAAACGTTATTTTTTAAACGCCAACCTAATTGTTTAGAAAGTAATGTTTTTATTTTGTTTAAGAATATTATTTAAAATGCTATATTTGTAATAATTAACCTTATTTTAGACATTGCTTTTGTTTGTATTATTTTAACAGTTATAATTATGTTTTTGTATAATTAATTTTCTACCGGATAATTTATATTCACTAATTAACTTATTCTTAGATCAATTTAACGAGGTTTAAACCCTACACTTGATTTTAGAATAACCTACCAACTGCATAGATAAATGTCGTAATATATTTATTAATAAGAACTGATAATATTTTGTTAATTTTACTGATACTTATTTTGATATTTTAAATTCCATTAATAGATTTACAAAAACAAAATATTTTTTATGATAAAACAGTATTTTAGTTTAATTCTTAATTGTGTAACTCACCATTAAAAATTATATATAATACGTTTTATAACACAAATTATTATCAAAAAATGTTTTGTTGAACAACAAACATAAATTAAAATTTGCCTTAATAAACGATGAAATACGTTTGTATATCTTTAGCTAATCGAAAAGTTTCAGAATATTTAAAGGAAGTAAAAGTAAAGTATTAAATCCATGTCATATACTGAGAATATTATACACGTTTCAATTAGTATTAACTTAGCGTACATTTACTACGTTCAGCAACGTCTTATAAATATTCAAGTTTCTCTTGTTTTCTTTTTGTTTTTTCGTAAGGGTTTGCATTTTACCTTATACCTTATAACCTTTTACGTTTAATAATCTGGTTTGTTATAATACAAGCTTTCTGGGCCATTATTTTTTACTATACTCATTCACACGTATACATATAATGTACGGTAGTTAAACAATTTCTTTCTATAGATTATGTGTACTTAATTTCGTCGATTATATAAAACGTTAAGTTGTAAAACTCTGTAGAATGCGTTATATTAGTTCAGCAGAAGAGGGAGGGGGTGGTTATCCAAACAAGTAAGTGGATCGTCACGTCTCGCCTTATCTATGACGTAAACTTATGATTATGAATGGTTCTGTAAAAAATTCCAAGTATCTCCATCGCGGTAATAGGCATCGGTTACTGAGGAAGGGAAAAAATGTATATAAATCTGTACAAATTCTCATTGAGGGCTTCGTAAAGTGTTTCTCGTACGCGGTTGTCGACGGACGACGACGAGTCACCGCAGCGCCTTGGCCCGAAACCAGGTGGCGGTACAGCGCAACACGGCACAGCGCTTCCCAACCGGTTTCTGGTAGTACCACCGCCCCGCTTCCATTCTTCCTTTTCCAACATGTCGCCACGCCTTGCTGTTCTCTCCACGGTGTTGTGCTCGTCAAAGTCGTCGCGCCACCGCTCCGTAGGTAACCCGGTCCGGGTTGCAGCTATTTACCAGTACTCGGCCGTAGTACCTGCAAAATTGTTCCGTCGCTTGCGTGCACACTGTTCGCCGTCCGTCAGTCGCGGTTTTAACTCGCATCTGTAACAGTCGTATCTATATTTTTCTTCCCTGTGTTTGTCGCTCGTCCGATTGGTGTACCACCCGAGTGTTGTTTTTTAAATATTAGTTTCCGCGCGTGTCCGTCCATTGTTTTTACGCCGTCGTCGCGTGTGTAATTTTGCTTTTGTTGCTTCGTGGTGTTCCGGCGAGTAGTATAACTACTGCCTCAAGATGGTGTCCGGAAAAACGGTAAGTCCTTGAGACGCGTAATGTCCGATTCACGAATACCAAACGGACTCCCGACTAACGTGCTAAATTTGACCGAAAACTAACGACAATTATATTTATAGTAGCGGTGGTTGATGTGTCATACCTTAAAATTTTCGTGTAAAACACGCACGCACACGCATACATTTACACGAAATTATATATATATTTGTAATTTGTGTGTATAAGAGTACCTGTATTTCATACTGAGAATATTTAGATATTTTTCTGCATTTATACAAATTAATGAAATTCGATGGTAAAACTGCATATTAAGTAACCTGAATCAGCGTTAATAAAAAATCACATCTTACAATATTAAGTATGTAACGCGTTGTATTTGATGAAAACAAAATAATATTCTTTCAATTCAAACAATGTATTTTGATATTATTTTTCATATTTTTAATTGTTGCGTTTTGTTTTCCCTCCAAATACATATATCCCTATTGTTATACGTTACACATTAACCGAGTTGGCTTTTTATATTTATTTAAAGAGTTGGCTGTAAACGTACGGCGCGAACCTTGTAGTAAATGGATACCTTGCAGAAGGGTGTTCGGGTGAATCTTGTTGTAATATATTACATTATGACTGTTGCGTGTTTCAGATGAACGTGAGGGTGACCACAATGGATGCCGAGTTGGAGTTTGCTATTCAACAAACTACCACCGGCAAACAACTGTTCGACCAAGTAGTAAAAACCATTGGCCTGAGGGAGGTATGGTTTTTCGGGCTTCAGTACACAGATAACAAAGGCGATATGACCTGGATCAAACTATACAAAAAGGTACGGTCGTTTTATACATACATATTTAAAACATGTACTTTTTTTTCCGAACGATAAACATTCTTAGGAGCGTCTTTGATATACCTATTATAATTTCTATCATACGGTGGGACACTACTATATAACAGTTTATAAACCCTTTGGAAATATTGAAACACTGATATTAATTTTATTGGCCGTATGACCTTGAAGACTAATACATTTTAGTCAAGTTTTTCTTACGACTCATTTAAGGTTGAACTTATAAAATCAGTCTATTAGCATTCTCGAAAACTCCCCGACACTACTTGTGATTAAATCATTTCCAAAGTCATAGCTTAATTTCGTAAGACTATTAGGTTATGCAAAACCATGAATAATAGTTCATAGACTCGTACTAGCAAACATCTCCGTTAATCACTGTACAAACACATGCGCACTCAAGATAATGTATTTTGACATTGTTTATGGAACACGTTTTATATATTTCACGATTATCAAACAGTAGTTTTACATTTATTGTCGTTAAAATATTTTACACACCTGTTAATAGTTATTATTCTTTTTGCTCGAATATATGTTTATATATTTTGGGCATAAATGGGGTGCAACAGGTGTTGGTCGGTAAAAATTGTAATAACGTATTAAACCAACATACAATAAAAAAGTTTCTCTTCACTTTTGTTTGAGGGATTTTAGAAACAAACAATATCTGCAATTTATTACTCCTTAAGTAAGAGCAGACGTTACTCATGTTCTTTATATAGATATTAAGTTTGCAATGTTATATGGTTTTTTATTTAATTACATAGCTGTTAATTTTACAGCTCCGTGAAAACGTACTTATTTATAGTGGTTCTTTACAATTGATTTACAACTGTAGTAACAAGTTGATAATCAAAATTACACAATAAACTGTTAACTGTCAAATTAATTAAATGTAATATTAAAATGTCAGCCATACACAATAGTCGGAAATACGAGATTTATTTATTGTAATGATTCCACATGATTTAGTCACGTTATAGCGATTTTTAAAAATATTACTTTAAATAGAAGTTTGATTTTTTTCATTTTTCCCTATATTCATTCTCCATGACATTAGTTTTTAATTAAAAAAAGCCCGGTTAAACCGGATGTATCCATTTTAATTGATAGTTAAACGCCGATTTCTCTCAGAATTATTGTTAATGTAGTTTCTATTCGCACTACTATTATTGTCTATAACTAACCTACCGCATTAGTGCATTTTTATATCTTTAGGTATACTCATAAAATATTCTATTTTAGATACCTTTTTGTTTTCAAAAATTTATAAATTGCAAGACGTATTTAAATCCTTATAATATATTACTAAAAGGAAGGGATTATTGGACAATGTTTTCATTATTTATTAACTATATTTCTCTGGTATTTAAAGAATTACCAAGCGTCTGAACGTTACGATATTTGGCCTTGTCGTCTGTCGGATACATCTTAGTATACTACTAGTATACTACTTTCTAAAACGAAGATACATCATTGTGTCAAGGTCACGGAGTACCAGTAAAATCACGTGTATAGTTTTTTACCGATGACGGTATCTAAAGAATCATAAAAAAGGAACGAAAAATATGACAAATAAATTCTAATTAATAATAATTTTTAATTATATTTATAGTTAGGAATTTTAAACGTTCACCAAATATTATACATTTATAAAATTAAACGTGTTCTACAAAAATAAATTTATGTTGATATACGTTATGTAAATAATTTTTGTAAATTATTTATAGATTTTTTGATGCTTGATTTTGTTCAAACTTCAATAATTAAATATATTCCCAAAAGCGAAAGATTAAGAGATAAGATCTGGACAAATATTTTAATTATAAGCCTATTTATCTAGGTATTTACATGTGTCATAAAACATTTGACAAGTATTTACTTAAGAGAATATAGTAATTTAAAATTTTTGATTGGACTTCGTGTTTTTCTGCGTAATTTTTAAATATTTCAAATTTATATTAATATATTACACATATAGTTAATTATTATTAATAATTAATAAATTTTCAATTGATAAACACAAGTTACAGGTCTCGTGATGTATAATTTATATAGGAGTTATCCATTTTAGAACTAATAACCTTTAGGTTCACATTATTTGATGTGTTACTACGAGTGCACACATACACACACACGCACGCACATATATATATATATGTTAGAGGCTCCATAATTTTAATATTATACTTCATTGTTATCAAAGAAGTTATCGTTCTATATCTAAAATATACCCCCAATATGAACCTTAAAAATTTTATTCTAAAATCTAAATCGGTCACGACCCAGGTAACGTTAATTTCAATATTCTAGATTACCGTTGATAAATAAATTTAAATACATATGTATATCTATATAATCTGTGATGAATTAATTTAATATTTATATTTCTGTACATAATACAAATTATCATAAACGCGTCGGATCTTATAGAAAATTAACGTTTTTTAATAATTAATATTTTAATAACTTTTTTGTAACATTAGAGAACTTAGTAGTAACATAACTACTTGTTCAGAATTTTTTTTGATTTTTGTGATAAAGACGTGTAGATTTAACTTAATATATTCATTTATATGAAATTCATAATTTTGCTTCAATAAGATTATAAGTGACTGATATGAGATTATTGATTTTAAAAAGTGGTACCTACTTAAACTTGTAAGCAATAATCAATTTTTCTCAATTTAAATACATCTTTTAAAACCGAGTTACTTTAAGTAGTGATTCCAATTGGTGTCTTACGGTATTTCAAGGATATTAAAATAATGATTTCTTAGAAATTATATATCTTTGATTTTGATTTAATTTCAATTAGTTATATCACTTATAAATAATTTCTCCAAATATTAGGTAAAATTCTTAGTATATTTTTTACTTCTTTACTTTCTTACTTTTTCATGGAACGCAGCCTGAAAATATATGTAAAAAATTATGGAAATTATGGAACAACAGAAAATCACTCGTTGAAGATTCGATTGATTATTTTGATGCAAAACATAAATATTGGTTACAGGTATCATGTTGTATTCCTTATAAACACTAATGTTTATTAGTTAAGCAATAATAAGTATTGACTTCATTAGTTCAATACTTTCAGTACATGTTTGCGGCTTACATACAAGCATATACACATATATAATATAATATTCTGTCTTTTTTTTGCGTGTATATCCCTATAGTCATTCTAATTTTCCAACTGACCATTTGTATTGTTAGTGTCCTTCACCACACAATTGCTGACATTATAATAATGAGTTTACCCACATTGTTTAATTTATTTTTATGGCTTTCTATCGCACATATACTTGTATCATATTCAAGTGAATATTAATATAATATTTCCTATAATTTAGTTTCCTTACATACCTATGTATTATTAGTAAACTAAAACCTTAAAGCATTACATAAACAATTGAATCAAATTCACACGTGACATTTTATGGATTCTTTAGTAGTATGTTTATTAAAAATACTATGTTGGTAGTCTAACACAAATTTGTTTTTTAAAACTAATATAAGTACAAATTATGTTGTAGAATAAGTAAAAAATGTATATACTTATTACAATGTATACTCTATTGCAGTGGTTCCCAATTAATGTGAAGTAACAGACCTCTATAACTTAAATTGGTCCTGGGACCCCTTTTTTGTAAATACTTTTCAATTTTGTTTAATTATGAAAATGAAAAAAAATGTATGATTTATTAATTATTATTAATTAATTTATTAATTTGACAAACCTTTTCGTAATATTATAAACATACATTTTCTAAAACAAAAAATATTTTTTTTGATTTAAAACTTAATCTTGCATACAACATTATTGCAATTACTTTTTACAATTTATTTATGAGTTACTTAAATTAGTTATTGCATTGATTTTCGAACTTTATGATACTAGTAAAACCTTTCTTTTTCGTTCATAATTTTTTTCAAATTCGGCTGCAGACTTGATATTTTCACTCTTAAATCAGCATCAGTAACAGTAGACAGAAAAATCTTTTTCATATCTATATGTTATGCAAAAGGGAATCAAATCTTTCTCGGCCATTTAATTTTGATCACTTTGAACAATTAATCAAAAATCAATTAGTTTTTTTATCGTTGAAAGTATTTTTCATCGTTCCATTATCCCTCCAAATCAATTCATCTTGTTCTTGTTAAAAGATTTTCTATTTTTTCAATATCACAGGAAAATTGATTTCTTATCCACGTATTGTTTAGGTAAAGTTGAGGATATTAATTTATACAAAGTTGATTATCCATCTTTTTTACGATAATCGAGTTATAATAGTCCAAAAATATAAGGAATTTCAAACGATTACAAAGTTGCACTAAATGCAAAATGCACTAAAATAAAATTAAAATATCTTTACAGTACTACCCAACTACGTACCCCCTAAAATCAACTTGTGGACCCCTGGAGGTTCACGGACGACCAATTGGGAACCTCTGTTCTGTTGTATGCATTCATGATTTGGTTTTCATTGTTTTAAAATTAAATTATTTTTTTGGTAGGCATCATATTCAAAATGAAAATATAAAATCTAATAAGTATAAAATAGTAAATGTTAAAAATATGTTAACAGATATTAAAAAAAAAACTGGTTGGGAACTTGCTTAAGTAATGATTTATAGTTAGTATACACTTTTAAAAAACGATGATTAGTGTGCGTGTACTTAGTTAACTGTTCTACTTTCTTTTATTTTAATAAAAAATGTATACCATATTATAATTTTAGTTAGCTGTATAAAATTATTATGCATCTGTGAAAAAATATATTAAATTAAGAAATTTCCATCCAAATTTTTTTACTTGGTTACGCATTGAAAAAAACTCATTTTGTCCTCACGTAGAGGTCACGATCTCGACCTTCGTTGTATTTTCTTAATTTTAATTGTAGTCATAGCATATAAGTGATGAAAAAGTAGTTACGTTTCCGAAGAAATATATATTTGAGTTTTGTTATGTTAAAAACGTACTTTTTTTTTATTCACGTCACTATTTCGTGTCACAAATTCTTTACAAGGTCAACAATCAAATAATGTTGAGTTTTTAACGAAGGTTTTTCAAATTTATACTTGCTTATGGGTTGTCTATTATAATAATTATTTATGACATTTTTGTGTTTATAACAATTAGTAAGGTATATAAATTTATATGATGTACTAAAACGTATGATAAATAATCGTTTTTCTGCTGTCTGCTGTAATGAGTGATAAATAAAATTATTACACCCATACAGATATCTAATCATCTCATATTAAGGTGGCATGTATAGCAATTTCTCTGAAATGTCAATAATAACGAATTTTATTTAATATAAAATTCGTTATGTTAAATTATATTAAAAAATTCGTTATTTAAGTTTAGTAATTTTTAATTAATATTTACATACATATTGACAAAATATAAAATATTATTATGTTTTAACATACCTATGTTATTAATCGTTATATGTCGTTATATTTATGATAAAATTCAACTTGAAATTTTTTTTATCAAGTTTTCGGAAAAATGTTATTTACGACTTGAGTACATTATTAAATAATTGTTATTACATTTTACGTTATATAAGTAGATTCGACAGCTGTTTGTTTTATAGTATGTATTATTTATGGCGCTAATAGGTTAGAATACTTATTATCATGATTCATAACATCAAAATTTAAATTTGTTTTTATTTAGATTTGCACTTATATTATTTTTTCATGTAATGAGTTATACTATTTTTATTGATTCTAATTAATTTTGTTCTATTTTTAGGTCATGAGCCAAGATGTTAAAAAGGAAAACCCACTACAGTTTAAATTCCGAGCCAAGTTCTATCCTGAAGATGTTGCAGAAGAACTTATACAAGATATCACTTTAAGATTATTTTATCTACAGGTATAACATTAATTTAATTTGCATTTAATTTAAATTTCTTTTACTAAACAAGTAAATATAAATATATTAAAATACTTTCAAAAACCATTAAAATGAAGATGAATAAAACTAATATATATAGGTAACTTTTTTACTATGAGACTGGGTTGGTTGTTTTTGTGGTTTGTAGCAATGATTAATTTCATTGTACTAAAAAATAATTTTTAATGACCTATTCTATAGTGTGTAAATATTTATAGATAGGTGATACAAGAAATTATCTGGGCATTCAAGATATATTTTTGATAATGTAAGATTATAATAAAGATTAGATATAATATATAACTATAACAGTGATGTTCAATCTTTTTTCCTAGATGTGCCACTAATTCTCCAGTTATCCTTAAAGTGAGCCGTAATTTGTAAAAGTTATTATTTTTCAGAGGGCTCTGTGTGGAAAAGTTTATAGGTCTCAAAAATGTTATGTCTGTAGTAATAAAAGCTGTAAATTTTATTTGATTCCATATTTTTAGTTATTAACAGTTTAAAAGTTTTCTTCTCAAAATAGAAGCCTAGTTATAGTGGTGTGGAGCAGTGGCGTAAAGTAGGGGGGTAAGTGCCCCCTCTGATCATTTTTTGAGAGATGAAGGTATAATTTTACCCCCCCCCCCCCCTCGATAATCTAACAGTACAAATAGCACCTTTTATTTATGAACTCTTATGGATATTATTTAATAATATTGGTACCTAGTACATGCTACCTACAATTTATGTTTATCTAAACCATAAAATGAGTTAAAAGACTTATGTAAAATCAAACAATTAGATATAGTGTATAAAATACATACAATAAAAATATGTTTTAACTGGTGAGGGGGAGAGGTGTCAGGATTTTGGTAATAATAAATATATTATATTGCCCCCTCCCTAGGTTTTTTCCCTGTTATGCCACTGGTATGGAGTTCTATATTTATTTTTGATCTATGAGAAATTTAAATATTCATGATCGATAAGAGAAAATACATTTTAGAACTTAAAAATGATATTTTTTTATAGGATTTACAATGAACAACACATTTAAGTATTTAAAATTAAATAGGTCTGGAAATTTACATTTGACATTTTATTAAAGAATTTGATGCAAAATCATAATTATATATTAATCAAATTAAGTGATTTCGATAATTTTGAAAACTGTCTAATATTTCAAAATAAAACAAATCTATTATGTTTAACAAATTGCAAACATATATTTTATCTCAATTTACGGATGTCAATTACACTAAAAATGATTGCATTTATTTAAAAATCCATTTAATATTGATGACATTTATATCAACATTTATTCCTAACTTGAACTTATTGAATTTAAAAAAATTAATTTTACTATGACGAATTTCAAAAAATTAAATTTTAAAATTGTATTCAAAATTTATCCTCAAAAATTTCTTAGCTTTGAGAAACATTTTGATGAAATAACAATTGTATTTGACTCAAAGTTTATTTGCAAACAAATATTTTTACGAATGAAACAAATAAAATTAGTTTATAGATTGCGACTTATATATAAACACCTTTAAATTTTGAGGATTGGAACAACTAAATTTCAAGCAATTTCAAATTAATAATTTTCATATTAAAAATAAGCTTGAAACATTTATATATACTTTTTGGTACAAAAATAGTAATAATTACTGTTATTGTATTTTTTAATATTAAATTAAAAAGTTTAGAAATCAATAAAAATCATATAATATATTTTTACTATTTAATTTTACCTTTTTAATTTAACCTTAATAATTTTGTTTTATCTTATGTATAATGGTGGGCCCATGTGACCCACAGACTGCAGGTTGAGCATCACTAATCTATATTTTGCATTATTTATATGTAAGCATTTACATACGTTGGTATAGTTGGTTTTTTTAGGCTCAAAGTCTCACGCAACAAAGAATGCACAGAAAGTTTGTGATTGTCGCAGCGTTGACATTAGGTTTAATTGTTTTGCTTCATGATTATATATTTCATAACTATGCAGTATATTTGATCTAAGATTTACTGAGAAAGTAATTAATTTGTGAAAACAAGTTTTAAATCTAAACACACAAATTAATTTAGTTTTGGTTTTTAAGAATATTGATAAACAAACCTACTTTCAAGTGTAATAATTTATTTAATAATTCTTATGAAAACAAATATAATATTTTAATTACATTTAAATAAATGATAAGAAATATTGTATGTTTAGGCTATTTAAAATACTTCTTTTGATCATATAAAATAACTCATGCATTGTTGTAACATTTAAAGTGTACAGTGCAAATATAAAAACATTGTCAACAATTATCCTTTACTGTTTGATTTATTTATAAATTCTATTTTTCTTAGAGGATTAAAAAATATTGGTATAATAACAATAACAGTTTAATAATGTAATATATTGTATTTAAATTAATTCGTTTTTCTAAAAACATTTATGACGGTATTTATTTATAAATATTTTCCTTTGTAAAATAAATGAACTAATAATTATTATTTAAAATTCTTTAGAAAATCTGAATATTGACTATAATTATTTACAAAATTTAATATTACCATTAAAATTAATTAGAAATAGCTGAATATAATTCATCAATGATTTTATAAATAATTTATAATGTTCTATATTATACAATATATTGTTATATATGTAATAAATAATTTATGAATATGAATATACAATATTTTTAGTGTAGTAAATCATTTAATTGGCAAAAGTACTCATATTTAGTTATTAAGACCAATTAAATGGTTAAATTCATAATGCATTAAACATTTTTATAAGTAAGGGTAATGATAAAAATTATTACAATTTGTTGGATGAATAATATTTAAAAATTATTCTCAATTTTTTTTTTTTTTTTTTTTTTTAATGTTATTTATTACCCATGTTTTTTTATTTAACTAAAATATAAACTTAATTTAATTTTTAAAATTTAAGCTAAAAGTAATTTGTTGATAAAATTAATAATAAATAACCATTTTCTTATTAATTAAAAATCAACACAATATTTTTTATATTAATCTCTTTATTTAAAAAAAATCTTGTTATAAAACTGTTTCTGTAAATCTTTCAATTTTATATATGTTTTTATATTAAATTATATTCTGAAATTATAGAAATTCTTGTATATTATGTCCATAACTCTTATCGTTTTTTTTTTTTTTTTTTAGAAAAAAATAACATTGATAAAAACAAAAATTGATTTTTGTACAGAAGCATTTCTACAAAATATTGTTTTATCTAGAAAATATACACTTGTAAGCAAAATAAAATTAGCTTGCATTCTTTGTTGAACAAATTTTCTACATTTTTATTCTCTTGAAACTATTATCTCAATTGAGTTTATAGTGTATTGTGGTTAACATAGAGCATTTTTCTTTTGTTTTTATTAAATATATTACAACGTAGAAGATGGAGAATCAAAAATAATAGTTTTAATAAAACAGCAAACAATTATTTTTTCAATTTATTTTTGATTCTATGTTTTGAGTTTCCTGAATAGTAGTAGTAATGAAAAATAATTCTACCTATGTGTTGTTTTTAGCTTTTTAAGTTTTACTTTAGATATTTTAATATTTTTTTAAAATTCTTTTAACTTAATAATATTAATATTTTAGGTGAAAAATGCCATTTTATCAGATGAAATTTACTGCCCATCAGAGACATCTGTACTGCTTGCTTCATATGCAGTACAAGCCAGACATGGGGATTACAACAAACTTACCCATACTCCTGGTTTCCTTACAAACGATCGTCTATTACCACAACGGTAAATTGTTTAAATTTATTCCATAGTCAAAAGTATGAACTATGTAAAATTTTTTTTAATTTTAGTGTAATGGATCAACATAAAATGACACGAGAAGAATGGGAATCTAGTATTACTACATGGTGGCATGAACATAGAGGCATGTTGCGTGAAGATGCTATGATGGAATATTTGAAAATAGCCCAAGATCTTGAAATGTATGGAGTTAACTACTTTGACATTCTTAACAAAAAAGGAACTGAATTATTTTTAGGTGTTGATGCCTTAGGCCTTAATATTTATGAAAAAGATGATAAGTAAGAAATTTTCCCTATTTTTTTATGTTGTACAATTATTTTTAAACTACTTTATATTTTAGGCTTACTCCAAAGATTGGTTTTCCTTGGTCAGAAATTCGAAATATTTCATTCAATGATAGAAAATTTATCATTAAACCTATTGATAAAAAAGCTCCTGACTTTGTATTTTTTGCTCCTCGTGTTCGTATTAATAAACGTATTCTGGCTCTTTGTATGGGTAATCATGAGTTGTACATGAGAAGACGCAAACCTGATACTATTGATGTACAACAAATGAAAGCTCAAGCAAGGGAAGAAAAATTGGCCAAACAACAACAAAGGTATTCACCATTTGTTTTTTTTTTTCAAATAAATTATTTTTATAAATATATGTATGGATTATCCTCTTTTTAAATCTTGACATATTAAATATTTTTATATATTTAAAAATGATTATAATTTAATGATTTGGACTAAAGTTAGATTATTATATGAATTTAATTCTAACAAATATTTTAAAATTGTACTATCAACATATTGTTTAACAAAAATTTAAACTTTTTATAGAATTATATTTTGATAGTTTAGTAATTTTCATAAAGAATAATAATAATATTAACTTTCTAAATTTCAAAATTGATCTAAAGTAAAACATTTTTGTTCAAAATGTGTGTGTATCAAAAGAAGGAATCAAAATAATACATATATTTTATGATGATATATCAAAATTAAATTTTTTTGGATTATATTATTTTTTATTTATTTATTTATTTTTTTATTTTTTATAAAACTTAATATCTTCACATATTATAATAATTTTATACTATATTTATAGAGAGAAACTTCAACTAGAAATTGCTGCTAGAGAAAAAGCGGAAAAGAAACATCAAGAATATGAAGAACGCTTGAAACAAATGCAAGCTGAAATTTCTAAACGTGAACAAGATTTGCTCAGTGCTCAAGTACTTTATAATTAATAAATTAATATTATATATATTTTTATCTATTTATTTGTATATTTTTAAGGATATGATTCGTCGTTTGGAAGATCAGTTAAATAAACTTCAACTGGCCAAAGAAGAACTTGAGCAAAGACAAAATGAACTGCAAAAAATGATGGAGCGCTTAGAAGAATCAAAGAATATGGAAGCTGTTGAAAGGGCCAAACTAGAAGATGAGATCAAAGCTAAGCAAGAAGAAGTCATGCGTATTCAATCTGAGGTTGAAACTAAGGATGAGGAAACTAGACGTTTACAGGTTTGTTGAATTTTAATTGTAGTATGGTTTTGTCTTCACTAGTCAAAAATTAATAAGTAGAACTTTAAAGTACAATTTTTTTTGTACTTATTATCCCTGTATATACTTAATAATTTTCTGAAATAAAATGTCATGCCCCTTAAGATAAACAATTATCAATTGAAATAGCAGTTAACCAGATCTGGCCATTCTTTTCCTTAGATGTACAATATTTTATTTTATTTTCTTTGGACAAATTTGATTCACAATATTCCTAATTTAATGCTATAATATACAAATTCTTTAATTTTAAAGGAAGAAGTTGAAGAAGCAAGACGTAAACAGGAAGAAGCTGCTGCTGCAGCACTTGCTGCCGCTGCAACACCCAAACATCATCATGTTACTGAAAATGAAAATGAAGATAATGATGAAATGGTCAATGGTCATGAATCACAAGATTTAGACACCGATATGGACATAGTTGATCCAGTAGAAGAACGCCGTACACTTGCTGAGCGTAATGAACGACTCCAAGATCAATTAAAGGTAATGATTTGTTTATGTTATATATTTGAATTAGAGTTTATTATTGTCCTTTTTTTTAATTTTATTTTAATTTTATAAATGGATAGATGTTAAAACAAGACTTAGCTATATCACGAGATGATACTAAGGAGACTGCCATGGATAAAATTCATCGTGAAAATGTGCGTCAGGGGCGAGATAAATATAAAACTCTACGTGAAATAAGAAAAGGCAATACAAAACGTAGAGTTGATCAGTTTGAAAACATGTAAACAAAAATTATACTATACAGGGTAATTAAAACTACAAATTTGTTAAAGGCCTGTAGGTCCAAGATCATTACGTGTCAATAATACTAGACCATTTTATATTTACTTTGGTATGTAACGTGAAAATATTATTAAATTATTATTTATTAAGGTTGTAATAACAAAAAAGGTTGAACAAGTTATGTAAAATTTTTTTTTTTTTTTTAGTTAGTTTTTATTAAATTTATTATTTCCTTAAGTTTTAAGTACCTTAATTTATTGAAGTATAATTTTATTGTTTTGCATAAAAATTGCTTAAAATAAAATTATATTTATGTGCCCAGTAAAATGTAATCATGCACTTAGGCAAGACTCATATTACTCATTTTTGAACACTCCTTTCACATTCCAAAAACAATGGGAGGGGGCACTTAATTCTTTCTGCTCAATATTTATCTTTGTCTTAAAAATAAAAACACGAACAATATTTTGATGCCTAACACTATTTTAATATTATTATTGTTATACGATTATTATCTTGATTTATTTATTATTATACATTTCTTTTATTATTATTATTATTAATATTAACATACAAAAGCTTTGAAACAATTAATTATTATTATTATTATTCTTATTATTATTAATTAATAATAATAAATAATTATATTTTGTGGTCTTTTAAAAATAGACCCATATTATTAACTGCGATGAAAAATGTATTAATGTATACTTTTGTTCAGTTAGTGTACCACATGTTTACTTATTAATTATTATTATAAAAATACATATTGTCAATATATATTTTTTCAAAAAAAAAAGAAGTTAAAGAATTTATATTTTCATTATATGTATATGTATATAAATACCTTTGACAGAATATAAAAATAAATTATCTATGAATCAAGAAATAATATACAATAAATCAACAAATTGTATCGATTCTGGATGATTTTATGACTAAATCATTATTTTAATAGTTTGATATTTTTTATACTACTTATATATAATTTTTAATAATTGATAAAAAAAAATATATTTTATCTTTCAAACAAAATTCTTTATACTGGAACAGTACTTATCAAATTTCTGACTGTATTTAAAGTTGATTAGTTCATGCTATATAATATGGGTTATATCTATATAATATAGATCAATATGTAATCCAATTATCATTCTGTTGAAATAATAATTAGAAAAAACTGGAAAAAATATTTGGATGGTTGAATTTTTTTATTCGGTTTATTAAGAAATTCAAAAAACTTCTGGATACATCTCAATAAATCAATTTTATATCAAAAACTATCCATTACTCCTCATAATTGTATTGATTGATGATTGTATATTATGTAGCAGTGATTTTTAACCTTTATTCTTAAAGCGGGCCATCAAATATAAAAGTATGCAAATAATATTATTTTGTTGCATATGGTAGATATACAGTATGTACCTAATATATATTCTAAATACATATATTATTTGTAAGTACATATTAATTTTGTTTTCGAATAATTTATTGACTTCTGAAAAGATTACAGATTGAGATACATGCTGTACATTAACCAATGTGCTCTTTTAAGTGCACATCATGAAATATCTATTTGAAATCTATTTACTATTTTGTTTTATTTTAAAAATATTATAACGAGCCACATTGAATACTTTCGAGGGCTACGTGTGGCCCAGAGGTCTCAGGTTGGGCACTATTGTTATATAACTAATAGTTTTACATTGTAGACCAAAATATAAATATATAAAGCAATGTATTCTTTGCTCCGCTCAAAATCTAAAATTATGTTTTCAATGTTTGGGGTTATATCAATTTATATTTTACTAATTAATATACAATCAAATATGTACATATAATTATCTGCCTTTGATATTTATGTATGTAATAATTGTAACCTTACTCAGAAATTTCCAAAGTGTGCGCTATGTATGGTGCCTTTACAGGGGTGCTGTACTATCATGATTTAAGATATAAACATTGATTAAATATACATTATATTTAATCAATGATATAGATATAATATATATTAAAAATTGTGTGTGCTACTGACAGTTTTCTCATTTTATTGAAGTTACTTTATAAGTAATTTCAGTTCTAAATAGGTGTTGCCAGTCAAAATACTGCCTAAGAATTGTTTGGTTAGGTCCTAGATTTATTCTTTTAATCAGTTTAATCGATACACCTAAAGGGATTTATTTTTTATAAATTAAAACCTTTCCTAACCAGTTTTCAGTTATTTTCATTATTCCATCCAAAAATCATACATTTATTTAATTTAAAAATAAAATTATTTCAAATTAATCATATTTAACTTTGTAAGCAGTTAAATAGAAATATTGAATAAATATAAAAAAAACAATTATATTTAAATAATAATAACATAATCTTATATTAGATATTAATACATAATAGATATTTTATCAAGATATATTTATGAATCTGAGATTAAAAATAATTTAAATCTGTATGTGCTAAACATCAAGTTGTTTGCTTCGTCAGAACATTCTGATGGTAATTGACTTGGGTACATAGTTCCAAATATACTCTAAAAATATGAGTATTTTGATAAAAAAATTTAAAAAGAATAAAATTATGCTGAATTTAATAATTACTTTGGTGGCAACAACAGCCCGTTTTACATTTTTAACTATATATTCTTGAAGAATATCTAGATTAATTGGATCAATTTGATTCTCAACTGCTGTTATTTGCTCTGAACAAATAGTTGACAATCTCTAAATAGATGGATGAAATAATTTTACTAGATACATTTTTATACTAATTTAATAAGTTAGTTACTTCATTTTCAATGCTAACAAAAAGTTGATTGATATACTTGAGATCAAATAACTTTTGTATCTGATATCTAGACTTCAATGTAGTTTCTAGTGCACTATTATCATGATATTCAGTTAATATCCATTCAATGCACAAAGCAATAGTTTTTTCTTGAACAAATCTAAAATTATAATTTAAAAACGGATCATGAAAAATTAAAATAACGTATATAGCATAGTACTTTGGAGGTAATGTTAAAGCTAGACATGTAATCATATTGTGAATGAAGTTTTGCAAAGGAAATGAAGGTTGATTAGGCACTAGCAATTTTGACACCACTAGTTCTCCGCTTTCTCTTTCAATTTCCATATCCAAAATTTCCCATTTCTAGAAATAAAATAAAACAAAATTAAAAGCTTTACTATAATTTTATTGTTATTTTACCGGAATAGTAGAAAGTTGTTCTCCAAGCGTAATTGGAAAAATATTTCCTTTTAAACCATCAAACATTCTATTAGTTATTACTTCCGCCCATTTATTCCAAATAATAATGGAAGCATTTTTAATTTCTTCTTTTGATGATGTCCAGAAGTTAAACTAAACAAGATAGCAGAATTAAGTAATCAAATAATAGTAAAATTAAATATTTCTATCAATGTATAGATAATTATAATTATATCTATATTATATATTATACCTATTTTTAATCTAATATAAATAGTGTTGATTAAAATTTTTACAATATTCTTTTGAAATTTGAAATTCCTATCAAAGATAATTATTTAAATTTGCTAACAATTGTCTAACCTGTTGGTACAAGGATACTAAACACTGTTTTATTGTAGGACATAATACTGGTAAACACCATAAAAATCTAGCAATCAACAATATGCCATCTTCAGTTAATTGTCCTTGTTCAACCAACTGCACCATACTTTTTCCCAACCTAAATATATATATATATATATATATATATATAAATATATGAATTGAGCTTATATATGGTTAATTTAAATTTAATAAACTTTAAAACCTAATAATAAAATTGTTACAACAGTTTCCTTGATGTTGTCTTAGAGCCCATGGGTCTTCATCTTCTGAATATAATTCACTTAACATATTTGCTAATGATAAAATTCGTTTTTCAATACATTCACACAATTTAGCTGTTTTGTCTGAACAACCTATTGATCGAGTTTCTAAATATTCATCTGTATCTGAAAATAGACTATCTTGCAAGTAAGGTTCTTCTGGACTAAAAGAAAACATTTTTAAAAAATGCTTTGGTTATCTTATTTTGAATTTGTGTTAATATCTTACTGAATTAAGGCATTATTTATGTCTGATATAACAACAGGAAAAATATTTTCCCAGTGATTAGTTAATAAAACTTTAGTTTTTTGAGCAAAAAGTGGACAGTATAATTCTGACCACAGATCTGATTCAAATGAAATTTGTTCCGATATACCAGTCCAATACTGAGGGTACACCTGAAAAGTAAACATTAGTAATAAAAAATAAAATAATGCCTTTATTTACTCATACAATTGACAGTTGATTTAAATTACGAAGAGTTGCAATTGATTCAACATTCTCCAGAACGTCTGCAACTTTGTTTTTAACAAATGGTTTTGCCCATTCTAACCAATTTGTTACAATGTTGGTAATATATTCTTTTGACAACTCATTTGGAGATAGCATACAATCAACTCTAAATAAAACAAATTATAATTAGAATAAAATTGTAGAAAAATATATAGGTAACACACTTGAATTCTTTAATAGACTTTGGTAAATACATAAGTCCAAAATTTAATGAATAATCCATATCTACTAATGATAATACAGTTGGTCCTCGTCTCAACATTTCTTTGATTTGTATGTATATTATACCACTGTTATAAATATCATAATCTAAAAATTAAAAAATACCTTGGTTTTAATAATAATAAAATGGGTATTTTTGATTTTCATTAGAATGATTGCTTTTTCAAAAAACAATGTAATGAGTCTTGATAGTATATATGTTATTGAAAATAATATTTTAGTATATTATATTTTAGCTTACTTGTAAAACACAAATATAAATTATAAATAGTGTTTATAATTAATTTAGAACTATTTTCAATATTTTTTTCGACTGAACTTTCTTCTGTTAATGTATATTGCAACATATTTGAACGTAATATAATAAATTCTTTAATTAAAGAATGATCATCTAAACCTTCTAGTATGGATAAAGTAATAAAACAGGATGCAGCTTCCTGTTGAATATTAACACAATGGTTTGTATTGATATAATTGTATTAACAAATTAATAACAGTTAAGCATATTACTTCTGGAGTAATGGGTCCAGATAATTCTAATTTAGTTTTATCTGATATGGTAGTTGAAAAATGAGATATTGTAGACCAAACTCTATCTAAAAATGGTTCACTTTTTTTAAGTCCTTTGGATATATCTGTATTTAGACCTAAAAACCAAATATTATAATTATAAAATGTAATTTTTAATTAATAGCTCTAAGTGCATATTATGTGTTTTTCTTTTGTGTTGATACCCTTTAAATCGTTACTTTTTAATTTATGTAGTTAAAATATTAATTTACTCACTCATTTTGATAGCTGAAGCAAACTGAAACAATTGAGTAGCAGCTAAATAATTACTAGAGTTCAAATAATCCCATATTTGTTCAGAAAGATCAATTAGAAGTTTTGACTGAACAGCAAATGTATCAAGTATATTGTCTCCACTAAAAGAAAAGAAAAATTAAAATTGACTAGTACTTTTTAAATTTGAAATAAGACTTACTTATTCAGAGTTATATTATGATTAATTTGATTTGTTTTTATTATATTTTCTGTAACATTAGATATATCACTAATTATCATTGCCATAGAACTAATTGTATCTGCTGCATCTATGAGATCCCTATATTTTTCACTGAAAAAAAATTTTAACGCAAAGGATAATAAAATTTTTCTTTCTTATTTTTGAATTTGTCGACATAGGTACCTCACTAGTGATTTAAGCTGGTCTGCCTTTTTTTCAACATCTTTTTTTAAAGTATTTTGTAAAGATTCAATTTCATTTAAGTTACATGTTTCAAACAATTCATTAGCAAACTCATTAGCCTTTTTCGTTGGTAGTTTTGCATCCATTTTATTCGCTACAAGTTAATGCTTGAAATAAATAATCAAAGTATGATGAAAGTATATTTTGTCATTAATATATATCAATTACTAAAACACTAAACAAAAAAAAATTAATTTATTACATTGATATCGTTCAAATGAAATTCAATTATAATAATAGTAAATTGTACGTAAATTGTAACATAAAACGAAGATAAAGAACATCAGCAACTAAACTTATTAATGTTACCTACCTACTCGGCTACTCCAAGCGGCAAATCCAGTTGGTTTTTGATAAGAAATTTGTTTTTGTGATAATGCTGCCACTTGCATTACTTGTATGATATTCAATAAATATATGTTTACATATTCACTGTAGAGAAAACAATTGCATTATAATTTAGATGGATATCGTGATTTATAGTTAAATTAAATATTTTTGGAAAGCTTTAACTTTCATTCCCGATAATACTTTTTTTTATTGCTTTAAAATGGTTCTTGGGCCATTAGATCATTCTGTACAAACAGATATTATATTTGTAATAGAGAAAACGGCCATGAACACGTACATTAGTGAACTCAAAACTAACTATGTGACTCCAACTTTAGAGTAAGTTTCTATAGATTTTACTTGATAGATAATAATGTTCTATTAATTGATTTATAAATATTTTGAAATTGTTTATAACTGTAAGTTATATATTTATAAAGATACTTTAACCAAGGACCGATTGAGGAACGAGAGTATCTATCTGAAGTAAGAAAGAAAATGTCTAAGATATTATTGTAATACTTTAATCTATTTATTTAACAATATTACAGAGTAGTAGCGCAATCTATGGTATTGTGGTATATGAAGCGAATGATTGTAAGCCATATCCTTGTTGTCGTACATATGGAACATTTACAAGTCCACAAAAAGTCATAAAAATGATTGAAAAAATAGAGTAAGTTTAATGTCCTATTACTAATTTGTATACTATGTAATTTATTCACTTTGTATTTCATAGTATGATTGGAGGCATGGCTGAATCTCATGCTTACATGGGTGAAGGGTTAGCAACAGCGTTGGTTTTCTTTGAGGATTTGCAAGAAATACGTGAAGCTAAGCAGAGACATTGTATACTCATATGTAATTCACCACCATATAATTTTCCAATTATGGAATGCGAAAGTTATGCTGGACGTAGTGTTGATCAAATAGCTAATCTTTTTCAAGAAGTATGAAATTTTCATTAACTTAACTAAGTAGTGTGACATAACTTAGTTGTAAGCAATTTAGTTATAGTATAAAAATAGCGTATGCTATTTTGTTATCATAAATTCAATAAAGTAATTTTAAAATGAACTTATTATCTCATAATGATCATTTTTTTATTAATCAATATACCTATACCATTCAAAATTATATTTACAAGATAAATATGTTGTTACATAATTTTTTAATATTATCATGTTATTAATAATATGCATAGTGTGAAAATGCGTACACTTATTATTTTACAAATATTATATTTAAAGTTTAGGCCTCCAGAAAAAATATTACTGTTAGACTATGCCCTCGTGTATAGAGTTATTGATTGTTTTTGGAATTATTTCTTAATTTATTGTTTTATGATCCGAGTACTGCATTGTTTCATATTAATATTTAAAATTAAATTAATTTGATTAATTATAATTTAATAAATTAATTTTGCATCCCAATTTAACAGAAGGTTGGCATTATAGTTCTAATACTATCAGTTCACCCTTCTAAATTTCTTTGGTTGATGAATAAAGAAAGAAGGTATTTTAAATCTATTCAATTTTAAACTAGTAATTGCTGAATATTCAATTAAATTAAAGAAAAAATATTCAGCTCTGCAAAATTAAAAGCTTGTACTCTAGCTTGAAAATAATTTATTCAAGGATATTCAGGGAATATTATTGCATATTTTCAATTATAATTATAATATACTTGTTTTGTTCATCGTGTATGTAATATTTTTATTTATTTTTTTATTTAATAAGATTTTCTTATATTTTTTTTATTAACTAAGCAATTAAATTGCTTATAGCTTAATAAATCGGAACTTTACTATGGATTTATATATTTATTTAAGTATTAATTTGTTTGTATTTCAGAAAGGAATTTTACTTTCAATATTATCAGCTCGAAAAACTCCAGCGTTGTTGAAATTATTTGAAAAAGCTGGTGGTGATTTACAAATTTCTCAGAACAAAAATTATGCAAAAGATCCAAGACATCTAGTTTTACTTAATGGATACAGGTCATTAATCATTTTAATTAATTTAATGATACATTTTAGAACGTAAAATTTCTTATTATTTTATAATTACAATGAATATCAGTTGTATAAATTTTGTTTTATGTATAATAGTTTAAAAGAACGTCCAATGAGTCCATGTCCTCCCACTACTCATTCTGGTTTATCAATGACCAGTCCATTACCAACAAATGTTAACATTGGATCTCCAGTTGCTCAATGTGCACCATTTAGAACTAATAATCCAGTAAGTATTAAAATAATTAAATGTTAAATTTAATCAGTTAATATCAAAAAATATAAAATTGATTATTGTTTAGGTAATGGCCATGCAGAATCAAGTTCAGCAACAACAGCAGCAGCAGCAGCAACAACAACAACAACAACAACAACATCAACAACAACAGCAACAACAACATCAACAACAACAAGCTGTTCAGGCAGCTCAACAAGCTGTTGCTGTTGCACAACAACAACAACAACAACAGCAACAAGTTCAACAACAGCAACAAGTTCAACAACAACAAATGATTCGTAATGTAAATCAAGCTCAAAATCAGCCGTACTCAAATGTTTCAAATACAGGGGGTTTTTTGAGACCATCTCAAGCACCACGTAATTGGCAAATGATGCAATCGCAACAACGTCAACCAAATCAAGCAAGTGCATTGATTGCACAATTAACACAACCTACATTCCAACAAAGATTGGCTGGTAAGTTATATGTTATGTGTTCATAATATTTGTACTTAATTTACATGTATTAGTCTTTACATTATTTTAGACAAAACATGAATATTTATTATATGTAGTTTTCTTTGATATATAAATAACAGTTATTAATTTTTTTATGATCTCTTTTATTTGAAAAAATAATTTTTAATACAAATTCAAATTTATCATTTTATTTTATATTTATACTATATATATCACAGGCCACCAAATTACATATTGCCTTTTACCATAAAACGAATGAACCATGAATCTTACAATAAAATACATTTAGACTAATTTAAAATAAAATTGTAAAATACAACAATAATAGTTTCACTTTGTACTCAAACATTTTGAACAGTTAGTATATAATTGATATTAATTATTTAGTAATTAATATCATTAAGCCTAATGTATTTTCATATGTTTTAATAAATGAAAACATTTGTATTCTTATCATTAACTTAAACCATAGATTCTTAACCTATTATTAACCCATGGATCCCTTTAAAGCCTAAAATATAATCACGGACCCTCCCCCCTTTAAAAAAAAATACATATATATAAATAAATAAATATAATTATAATTTTTACTATACAGCGATGGATCAACAAAAGTAATAGGTTAAATGTGTTAAATTTAAATTCTTGTTAGATTGTATAACCATGTTATATTATTTTACTATTACGATAACTTTATATGGCATATAAGTCTTTCAAGTGGCTTTCAAGTCTTTCAACAATTATTATTATCTTAAAAACGCCATCAAAACAAATTTATTTTTGGCTTATTTATAAAAAACTCATAGCCACCCTGTGGACTCTCGAGTAACCATCTAAAGACCCCCAAGGGGTCCACGGACCCCCGGTTAAGAACCTGTAGCTTAAACTAAGTATAACTTAAATGATTTATTTCAAATTTTACTTTTTAATATTTTTTTTTGTTAAACTTAAAATAAAGTGTTGCTGGTGGTGGAGGGGGAGTTTTACTGCAAACTTTACAGTAAAAATAAAAGTTAGCGAGGACATGCTAAGGGTTACCCTAATGTGTGTATAAACTGTAAGATATTTCCAAAAATTCAATGGGTGTCATATAATAATTCAATATTCCAATATTTTATCAAATTATAAAAGTAAAATAAATATTTCTAATTTATTAATATATTTTTAGTGGCATCACAACAACAAGTACAGCAACAACAAGTTCAACAGCAACAACAAGCTCAGCAACAACAGCAGCAGCAACAACAAGTTCAGCAGCAACAACAGCAGCAACAGCAGCAGCAGCAACAACAGCAACAGCAACAACAGCAGCAGCAGCAGCAACAACAGCAAGTGCAGCAGCAACAACAGCAGCAGCAGCAAGTACAACAGCAGCAACAGCAAGCTGCTTTACGAATGATGAACCAACAGCAACAACAAGTTCAACAGCAACAACAAGTATTTTACTTGATTTTTAAATAAATATATGCATAATATTAAAAATATTACTTTAATATTTATAGAATGGACCTGGAAGACAAACTATTTGGACAGGAACATTAGAATGGATAGAAAAATCAAAACCATTAACTGAAGTACCTAAAATAACAAGAAATGTTCCTTGTATAGTTTCGGCTACTTTGAAAAATGGAGAACCAGAATTGTAAATTAATCACTATTTTACTATCTTCAATATTTTTCTTATGTTTCTGATTTATAGGAAAGCAGAAACTTGGCCAGAAAAATTGATTATGCAGTTAATGCCCAAAAATTTAATTGGAAGTATTGGAGGTGCCCATTTAAAAGATTCAAAATCTGTTGTTTTCCAACCCACACCATGCGAAGCATTAGAATCATTGACAAAATACATGACTAATGGATATGTAAGTTATTTTTAGATAAAATAGGTATAAACGTATTTAAATGCAAGTTATCATATTTGTATTGGTTTTAGGCTGGATGTGTGCATTTTAACAGTGCTCCTACTTCTCACAACTGTGATGTCAAAGTCTTAATTTTACTTTATACGCCAGATAGAAAAGCTTTTATAGGATTTATTCCAAATGATCAAGCTGCATTTGTTGATCGATTACGTAAGCTTATACAACATCAAAAAGCTTCTTCAGCTATGTTACGTCAAGGCCAGGTAAGATTTTTTTTAAAAAAATATACTTTTATAATTATGAAGTGTTTACTTTTATTAGCCCAAAATCAAGGTTATTTATTATTAAAGTACAATTAATTAATTAAATTATTTTATTATAATATAGTAAAAATCATAATAGTAAAATAATAATAGTAATAGTAAATCGTAATAGTAAAAATCATTGAATCATAAGAAATTACTATAAATTTTATATGCATGTATACATAGACGTGCGCAGACTTCAACTTCTGGTCGAGCCTGAATACAATTAGTGGCCAAATACTTAGACAGTTATCCTAATTTTTTTCTAACACTTCAACGTAGTAGATTCTGATATAAATTAAAAACAATGTAGTATTTATATCTATAAATAGGATCTAATATTATATTACTAATTTTTAGACATATATTTTTGTAAGTAAAACTTTAAATTCTTTAAAATCAAATGATATAAATACAATTAATTGATTTCCACGAAAATATTAAAATATATATAGACATTTTACTATGGTTAGTTTAAATTTTACTATGCCCCCTAAAAAATTCTGGTCAAGCCTGGGCTCGCCCCGTCCGCACCCCTATGCATGTATAGTATAAAAAATTGTACTCCATATTAATTTTAATGAGGGCTCTAATTTAACAAAATTATAATATAAATGAAATTATATGTAGAATATATAAATAGAATTATAAAATATAATTCTATTTCTCTCTTATCTTCATACATTTCACTAATTCCTTAAACACTCCTAAATTCTTTCATTAGAATTACATTAAAATTCAATATTAATTAAATAAATATTAATATTTGCTATATTGAAAAATATAATAGTTATTATAGCAATAAAATGTTTATAATATATTATAGAATTTTCAAGATAAAAATATAATTTATAATATAAAATTTATTTATTTATAAAAATATAATTGCCATTTGTAATTACTGCCATCTATGATTAATGGTACAAACTATATAGAGCATTAATTTTCTGGTGTTTAACCATTTAATTATGTTGGTATTGCCAAACTTTTGTTTACATTCCCTTAAAGTGTACACACTGATCTCAAACGCCGATCTAAAATGTCTGTTGTTTAGACGATATAATATACAAACACGCGTCGTTTTGCCGATCGTCCGTCGATACTTACTATTATTGTTCTTATATCCTTAAAGTTTTTACTTTATTAATTACGTATCGAACGTCTAAGTTACGTTTAACGCGTTATTCACGAACCGCTTATCTACAAAATGGCAGATGCCGATGATCTTTTGGATTATGAAGAAGACGAGCAGAACGAAACCGTTGAGAGTGACGACAAAAAACAAGCAAAAAAAGAAGTCAAGGGTAATTATGTGTCCATTCACAGTTCCGGTTTCCGTGATTTTTTGTTGAAACCGGAAATTCTGCGAGCGATAGTTGACTGTGGTTTTGAACATCCATCTGAGGTCCAACACGAATGTATACCTCAAGCCATGTTGGGTATGGACATTCTTTGCCAAGCTAAATCGGGTATGGGTAAAACTGCAGTGTTTGTCTTATCCACTTTACAACAGTTGGAAGTGTATGAAAGTGAAGTTTATGCTCTTGTCTTATGCCATACTAGAGAACTGGCTTTCCAAATTAGTAAAGAGTTTGAGCGTTTCACTAAATACTTGCCAGCCGTCAAAGTTAGTGTGTTTTTCGGTGGTGTACCTATTACAAAAGATGAAGATACGCTTAAAAACAACAAGCCACATGTAGTTGTTGGCACTCCTGGCCGTATATTGGAATTGATCAGGAAAAAAAAATTGGTTCTAAATAATCTGAAGCATTTTATTTTGGACGAATGTGATAAAATGTTGGAAATATTACACATGCGAAGTGATGTTCAAGAGATTTTCAAAAATACACCATTCAACAAACAAGTTATGATGTTCAGTGCCACACTTAGCAAAGATATAAGACCTGTTTGTAAAAAGTTTATGCAACAGCCATTGGAAGTATATGTTGACGACGATGCAAAATTATCATTACATGGTCTTCAACAATACTATGTTAAACTCACTGAAAAGGAAAAAAATAAGAAACTGTTTGATCTTTTGGATGAACTAGAATTCAATCAGGTAAATTTATATTAATTTTATACTTTATGTTTCATAAATAATTTTAACTGAAGATGAATAATAATACATTACCTTTTTGCTTTAGGTTATTATTTTTGTTAAATCTGTTCAACGATGTGTTGTATTGACAGAACTTCTGAATGAACAAAATTTTCCATCTGTTGCAATGCATGGTGGTATGTCTCAACAAGATCGTTTAAAGTTCTATCAAGAATTTAAAGATTTCCAAAAACGGATATTGGTGGCTACTAATTTATTTGGGCGAGGAATGGATATTGAACGTGTTAATATTGTTATTAATTATGATATGCCAGAAGATACAGATACATACTTACACAGAGTGGCAAGAGCTGGTCGTTTTGGTACCAAAGGATTAGCAATTACATTCATTTGTGAAGAAACTGATGCAAAAGTTTTGAATAGTGTTCAAGATAGATTTGATGTAACCATTGGTCGAATGCCCAATGAAATTGAACTTAGTTCTTATGTCGAAAGGAAATAATTTTTGTAACTCCTTATATTTATATGAAATTTAACAAAATAACAATTATATTATGATAGCTTATATGATAACTTATGATTTTTCCAGTTTTGCAAAATTTTATTTCTTTTTTTTAAATGTAATAAATGTGATTTCCTTCACTCATGAGTATTATTCCGGAACTCATTATAATATAAAATTTGAAAATATGTCTTTTTTGCATTTGTGTATGATTTAATTTAGGGACATTAGATATTACTTATATCATAATATACTTAGAAGTTAAGATTGTACATAATAATGCAACTGACTTAATTATTAAACTAATTTGCAAATTGTATTTATGTGGTAGTTTTTTAATTTTCCAATAAAGCTAGAAAAAAATAATGGTAGCATAAACATTTAGTACTATTTTTTTAATACTTATTTTATTTTTAAAAATTTATAAATGGTTAAATTTGCTTCAATTTCATAAACCTAGATAATTTCTTTGTGTTAAAAGTGTCTGTTATTTTAATTTTTTTTAGTTAAATTTTATATTTTGATAATGCAATAATGCATTTATTAAAATTTCATTCAATCAAAATATTTTAAAAAAAAAATCAAATTTAATTTGAATATATTTGAGTACTATCTTATATATTGAAAATTAAATTAATCTAATACAAGTTGATTAATCAGATAAGTTATATTAGCTATTTATTTTTTTCGAATATGATTTTAGCTAATTTATATTTTACTCATATTTCTAGAAATGTTTAAAATATATTTACTGTACATAGGTTAACTTGTAATCCCTGCATATTTCGTAATATAAAATTTCAGAATGTAACATTTGTTTTAAAGAAAATAATTAAAATCAATTTCTTATTGATATTGATTATTTTATTATAGAAAAGTATAGCCCCATTTTATATATCTATGAATTATACCTCTAAACCCATAAATAAATAATGATTTGTATCTGTTTAATACTTCACAACTTGGAAGAGATGTGTTAGTAGTTAATTCTTATTTCCTCCAAAAGTTTAAAGTTTTTACAGTAAAGTGTTGATATTTTTATAAAATATTTTACTATTTTATGGTTTTAAATAATAACATACCATCATAAATCAGAGTTCAGTTCTTAAACAATATGATTTGTTTATTATTTTTTCTGAAGATCCAATAGTGTTTACTTGTAGACAGAGCTGGATTATGGTTTTTAGGGTCGTAAGCACATTCATATAAATGGCCTACACATCATTTTCATACACTTAAAAAAATTAATTTTATTTTCAATTATTTATAAGTTATCACAAATAAAATTAAAATAATTATAATTTACATTTGAATCTACATTTAAAATTTTGAATTCTTATATTAATTTTCTTTATTAATACATTATTTAATTACTATATATATATATATATATATATATATACTAAATATCATAATTATTATAATTTTGTTTATTTAATATTATTGGCATCTTTCTTGCTTTTTGAAATGAAAAATCTTCAATAATTGTCTCGTTGTTTATAGTTATCACAATTTCACTTTTTATAGACAAAATGGCCAAATCGTTTATATGTTCTTGTGTTAAATTAGATCTTAATGCATTTTTTATTAATTTTAATCTTGAAAACGATCTTTCTCCACTACAATTGGTGCACATGAGTGTGTAAGATATAACAGTAAATTTTTTTTCTACATTTGGAAAGCATTCCGAAACGTTGAAGTTTAAAATCATTTTATATAAATTTATCAATAGAGGTACTAGAAATAATGTATATGGGCAGAGATAATGATGTAAACGTGATAAATTGTTTGAACTCATCTTTGAAACTGTGTGAAAAATCTATAGAGTATTTTTTACATAAGTTTTTCATTCCTTCTTCAATATGCTCAGATTTCATTTCAATCGAAAATTTTGATAGCAGCCTAAAATTGTTTTCAACTTCTTTATATGCATCAATTCTATACTGCAAAGTGCTGTTTAATTTATCAATAATAACATAAAAGGTTTAACTTGAATAAATAATTTTTTATCTGTAAACACGTATGCAGTTTCATTATCACACCTTTTTTTACGTTTACGATTTTCAGATGATTTATATTAGTTATTCACAGTTATTTCCATACCTTTAAATTCATAGTTATCATATTTTTCTCTGATCTGGTGGTCACTTCACTGTGGTCTTTACCTAAATGGTTATAAGTTATGCGATTATAACAATAATGATCTGTATGCCCGTATTTGCCGTATCAAAATATTTGATAGAAATTTTAGGAAAACCCGAATCGCGATATCACTTAACTCATAAACTTCTGAGTACTCATCACATCATAAAGGTAAATTAATATGATGAAATATTTTTGGAACATTAGTTGGAATAACTAAATTATTTATGATATAAAATCATAAATTTGATTTTAAAAATTATAGGCCGTAAGCAATTGCTTATTTTGCCTACCCTTTAATCCAGCCCTGCTTGTAGAGTTCTATTATTTTGATAAAAAGACAAACATCTCGTCTCTGTAATATTTCAGTTTTTGGACTATTTCATAATCCAGTTTACTTTCACAACTTTGATTGTGGCCTTTCTTATTTAACATGTAAAGATATGTTATTAATTATGTGCACTTACAGTATTGAGCGGAAAGAGTTATTGACCCTGGGTGTATTTTTTTTTTTTTGTTAAAGTTTAACTATACTCCGTTATTCCACTTATGCTCTCAATAATCCTGAAAATCATAACATTTAAGGTTGCCAAATGCCTTGTCGTGGTTCTGTTTATATTTTATCAGATATATAATAGTCAAGGCTAAAATTTTAATGATGTCAGTCAATTTTATTTGTGAATTTTGTATAAGTATATAAAAAAAATTACCAAAATAGGTGTTTTCAATTTTTAAATTATTATTTATTAAATTAAAATTAATTTAAGATTTTTATTCAAACTTCAAATTTCCTTTGTATATTTGTCAAATCTGTTATTAAAAACAAAAATAAATTTATATTCTTATGAATTTGTGTTGGTATATTAAAAATCTGTTTTCGAAATGTTTACGGACATAATAATAATGAAAGACATAATATTTACATACATAAGTATGTAAAATAAATATTAATTTACAAATTTAGAACAAAAACCAAAAATATTCATAAAAAAAAATTAGATACTAAACTGTTTTTTTTTTGTAATTCAAATGTCATTGAATGCTTAGTCGTATATTTATTAATCATATTTTTATTAAATGGATAATATCCAAAGGATATTATTAAGTTCAAAACATTTTATTCCTTTCGCTGGGTATATTTTAAAAATTACTCACCTTCCTCAAAATTACACATCGGTATCGCAATTTTTAAACCTATTTACCTTAGAATTTAAAAGAAGTATACTGGATATAAGATTCTTAAATAATTTTGTTTTAAGTAAGACCGATACTAGCCGTCTACTCGAATGGGTTCAATTTCATGTACCTAAAATTAAGTCCCGTAATAAACAAATGTTTGAAATCAGTATTCGTAGATCAATTTATTTATGGATTGACCCTATCCAAAGAATTATGCGTATAATTAATTTTTACCCGAAACTAAAAATGAATCTTAGAAACGGACCACACAATGTTTTGCTTTTAACTTGAAAATAATATATTTTATTTTTAATTTTAATTGTCATGCCTTCAACTCTTTAGTTATATATATTGTTTTTATTTAATATATAACAAACCAGAATATTATACTGTTATAAAAAATGTTTGGTTTCAACTTGTTTTATTAAATTAACTTTATAACTGTAGTGTTTAAGATAATTAAGTCAATATTAATAATTGCATTATTTACTTTAAGGGTGGAATGGGAATGCCACAAGGCAATATGCCTGGTCAAATGCAATTGCCACCAGGTCCAAATATGCCTAGTGGTCCAGGATCTAACCAGATTCCTGGTCTTATGCAAAACAGTACATTAACAGCATCCTTGCAGAATCAATCTCAAACAAATTTAGGTAATTGATTGATTAAATTATTAAAACAAATAGAATTTTTTTTTGTAATATTGATATTTTTTATAACAGCTGATTTGATGGGGTCTAATTTTACACCTCAAGGAAATCAAGTTGTCCCCAACAGTCCTTCAGTTCAAATTATGCCTAGTCCTCAACCAACTGGACAATCAGTTAACAATCCTAACATGTCAATACAAGTAAAATTATTTGTATAATTCAATGAGAAATTGAGTGTTCATATGATTATTTCATATAGAATCCCGGTAATGTTGGTGTCCATCCTTCTCAAAGTCAGTATAGTGAACATATTGAGATAGCTAGAAAGCAGAATTTGGCTAAAATACTTCAACTTCGACAGACACTAGAAGCAGCACAGCAACAAGAATTACAATATAAGTCTCAAATGGAGGTACTTTCTATAAATGCTTTTTATTTGTATATGTTGTTTTCATGTTGTTACATATCAATTAATTTAGATTCAAAGTCACCAAATGAACATTCCACAAATGCAGCAGCGTTTAGAACAAGCTCAAATGCAAGAAAACATTTTAAAATCCCAGCTTGAAGTATGTTAAGTAAATTATTTTTATTAGATATTAGAAATATTTAAATGGAATTTATGGTATAGATACGTAATCAAATGAATGTGCCTCAAATGCAACAAAATCTGGAACATGCTCAAATGCAAGAGACTATATTAAAAGCACAATTGGAAGTGAGTACACTATTTCAATGTGTTGGTTTATTTTTTAAGTTATAAAAAAACATTAGAATGGTAAAATTTTCAATAATTATTAATACTACTAATATTGATAATTTTATAACTAGCATCAACAGGAAGAGCAACATAAATTGAGAACACAACAATTCCACATTCATCAACAACAGCAGCAGCAACAACAATCAAGACAAATGGTTCCTGGAAATCAATCATCTCAGATTATGGGTAATAGTACACCACAGCAAAGAATGCAAATGCGACCTGTAATGTCTAGTAATCCTGGTCTTAGACATTTATTGCAACAAGTATTATAACATTTTTTCTTTTTTTTAAAAAAATATAGCAATCGTATTAATTACAAATTTTTTTAGCAACCTCAATACAGACAACAAATGATGGGCATGCAGCAAGTGCCTGTTGCTCAGGGCAGGGCACTACAACCCCAACAACAGCAACAACAACAACAACAGCAGTACGATGAAGTTCCATCCTTTGACTTTCTTAATTAACTTAATAAGCAATTATTTAAATTACTCCTATAGAATTGTTTTATAATTTATAAACATTTACTAGTACCTAAGACCAAAAATACTATTGAATTTCAACAATGCAGTTCTAGGGTTGTTTTATATTATTTTAATTTATTTTAAATAAAATAAATTTTCTAAAATTGTACTTGTTTCTTTATTTATGTCTCCTATTTTATAATTAATTTATAAGAATTCAATTTATAAAGTACTTTATACATATTTTAATCATATTTATTATAAAAATAAGTTTATTTTAAAAGTTACCGATTTCAATCATATCAGCCTAACCGAAGACTGTGGTATTAATCTAATGTAAGCTAAAACTAGAAGTTCCACATCTTTATTAATATTATGAACTCTATGTTGTTGATTACAGATAATTTTAAAATTTTACAAAAAAAATACTTCATGTTTAATCAATAATTTTTCTACCTTAATAAAAAGTGTAGGTGATGAATGGTAAATAACCAATATGAGTGTTGTTCAACTCACATTTTTGCCGACTGACAAGAATTTTTATTGCGTCTACCTATATTGAAAGTATTTACATATTTTCTTGGTTTTTAGTTAATTGTTCGTATATTAATCTTGTTTATAACACATTTAAAGAAAATGCCTAAAAATATCAAAAAAGAAACAAATTATAAATGGTTATATGATTATCATATAAGTGTATTATTTTTTATCATTGAAATGGTTGTTATTAAGTCAATTTTGAACTCAGAACTGTGGTTGATATATAAAAATTACTTTGAAAAAATATGCTTATCTGAATATGATGTTCAAAATTAGTGAACACACGGGTATTATATTATATTACATCTATGTAGAAAAGTGATTAAACATAGTAATATATCTATGAATTACACCACGGTTTTAGAATATTCTTCTAAAACCGTAGATTAAACGATGATGTAATGATGTATCAAAATAATTTAGTAAATGGTCACAGATAAAAGAATAGCTATGGCACGGAGTAATAAAAATATAATAATAATAAAATTAATAATATATAATTCTTATTAGATACTCTGTGGACTATGGTTAAATGATGATAATACCACAGAATAGATGAATCATCTATTTTGTGGTCTAGCTGCTAGACTCTAGCCGAAGTTAGATGACTACAGTATAATAACCTTATATCTACCCATAGAGTACTCTATGCGTTTACCACACCTAATTTAGTTGATTGATAGTTAATCTAAATTAATCTGATTGGTAATCAGATTGATCGAATTTTAAGAAGAACATTGTAATCCATCGTATTGATAAGCTGATCGGGTTGACGAGAAACACATAGATAAATAAATATTTGAATCTAACACAATATAACTCATAATCAGGGCCGTCCCGAAGATGAAAATCAAGGAGAGTGTGAATAATATGAAAAATGCTAATTACAATTTTGTTACTCAATGTATGTAATATAATTAACTATATGTAGGCATATTTTTACTTTTTAACATGTATATATGTGTCAGTGTCGCACATTCTTAAAATTGACAATTTAATTATATATATATAATAATATTTTATAATACATAATAAATAGTTGTATAAATTTTATTCGTGTACCTATAAGTATACAGTGTATACACTGTTTTACGAAATATGTAATATGTTTTCCGTAAGTAAAATTAGGTCCTTCTAGGCTATAATGAAACAAGTCCGACTGCCGACTGGTGTTTTTATAGGGGGGACACTCCCCAAGACTCCCCTTTGGGACGGCCCTGCTTATAATTTCATAATTTCTAAAAATTATAACGCAGATGGTAAAGATTTATATCTGTAATCATGAAAATTATGTAGAAAATCGAGACGAATGGAGGTTTAAGACAAGGATAGACGACCACAAATAGTTGGGAACATAGGTGCAACTAGGGGGGGTGCTTTGGGGTGCTATAGCACCCCAGGCTCTAATTTAGCACCCACAGTTAAAAAATTAATAATTGAAAAATTGTGTGAAAAAATAGTGTTTTTCTTATTTCATATAGTTATTTTTATTTGATGCTTTTATCAGAAAGATGAATTGTTCATGACTATTATTTAATTACATCGTCAGAACTTAAAAATATTCCACTAGTCATCGCAAGATAATACCAGTATAAATATTATATGTTGTATACTGTATATTTCTTAGGGCTGCATAACCTAAATAAAATAATATAATTAAATAAATAGATATGTTACAATTTATGCTTGTTAATATTTATAAATTAAAATATTAGTGAAAGTGTGTTGATATAATACATTTAATGATTAAATTGAGATAAGGTACTTGGGGGAAGGAGTGTTGACGTAGCCCTCCCACGGGTTAGTGCGAGCTTTGTAATTTCAGCACACCCAATTTTTGGGCTCTAGTTGTGTCTATGGTTGGGAGAAATGTGAAAAGAAAAAGAAAAATCATGACTACAGATTATTGTAATCCGTGGCGAGGTTAGGATTTTTACTCGGAGAAGCAAATTTTACCAAATACGAAAATAAAGATAAATTGTGAAAACTTTTTAAATGAACGATTGAAAACGTTTAAAACACTGAAATGCAAAAGAAATCAAGGTTTCGATGCACGGAGTAACAGGAGAAATACTCATGATAATTACCGATTTTTAAGATTGGTGAAATATATTTTTGTTATAAAAGAGAAAGCTTTATATGTTATTATTATTATCTTCCGACAAAATACACAAATGTGATAACGATAATGACCAAATTGATAGCATTATTATTGTTTGTATGTGGTTAATCTTAGGTATTTTACGTAGTATCCCATATTACGATGTTCGTGCGATACTCAGTAAAAATTCAAATCGGTCTTCTAAATATTTGAACACATTACATTTTTATCAATTGTCATTTAAACGTGTTGATGCGGTCGAGCGGTGATTTATCGTGGATTTCGCTGTATAAACATAGTTAAATGTCAGGCGCTAAGTGATGGCGAGCAAGTTGACGGATCCCGAATTACCAAAGAAAAACGAAAACTTTGACACGTTTTACACCGAAGTAAATAGACCTTATTAAACTATAATGGTGTAAATTTTTAAGCAATAATTATTTGATCAACAGGTAAAAGAAATCGAGAAACGTGATTCTGTGCTAACATCCAAACAACAGATTGATAGACTGCTGCGGCCTGGAGCTTCATATTTCAATCTAAACCCTTACGAAGTACTTCAGCTGGACCATGACACACCTTTAGAAGATGCAAAAAAAAAAATATAAAAGAGTAAATTTTAAATTATATTGATTCTCTAGATTACAAATAAATTGATTTTAATATGTTCGTATTAGCTGTCCATTTTGGTGCATCCTGACAAAAACCAAGATGATTTAGAGAGAGCAAATAATGCTTTTGAAACCGTTAACCGAGCATGGCGGACGATTAATAATGATGAATCTAGGAAAAAATGTCAAGAGATTATACAGGAAGCTAAAGATATGACAGAATTTATGATTACAGAAAAGCGTAAGAAATTAAAAAAAGAAGGCAAAGATACAGCTGTTGAAGAAGATGATCCAGATATTATGAAACGCAGTATTTACGTTCAAACATGTAAATTATTTGCTGATTTAGAACGTAAAAGAAAAGACCATGAAGCTAGAGAATTACAAGAAAGGAAAAGAAAAAGAGAACAAGAAATTGAAGAAGAACAGAAAGCAACAATGTCAAAAGAATGGCAAAAGAACTTCGATGTAAGTTTTGTTATGTTATTGTATTTAAATTGATATATTTTACACATTATTCGATTTTTCTGGTAAGAAAAACTCTAATAGATTTCTGACTGATATATGTATAATTATTATTTGTTTTAACTTTCAGAACTTAAAGGGTTTAAAATATGTGATTCATATTTAGGAAATTTACTATTATTATAATATGATGACGGAATGAATATAGCTAAAATATTTCAAATTATTAATACTATATTTCAACAATATTATTTATTTTCATCATTATTTAGAAATAATTTAATCTACATTTTTGTTATCTTCTAAAGACTTACCAAAATTTTAAAAAGAACCTCAAAATAGTTTTTCATAGATCTTGTAGAACATAAATTAAAATATTGTCTATAACATTACCTGTAAAAATGTTAAACAAACTTAATATTTAATCATGGTAAAGTTATACATTATTTTACATTTTTTATAATTTACTTAATTATAAATATTAAATATAATCAAAATATCAGTCATAATTTTATAAAATATTTTATATTTTCATTAACTTATTCACTAACCACAAAGGTCAATATAAATATTAAGTGTTAACATATATATATATATATATATATACTTATCAATTAATATTATAACATTCTTTACACAAAATAATTGGATAATTTTAATTTTAATCTTATAAATGTATAATTAATACTGTAAAATATATTTATCTATTTTATTTTTGTTTATAGTTTCTCTTTTTTTTTTTTTTTTTGTATAAAATAAGTCTATTATGATATGACTTTTTTGAACTTATAATTGTAATACAATTTCTTTTAATATTTAATTAGGAATCGAGAGAAAGTAGAGTAAACAGTTGGAAAGCATTTCAAGAATCAACAAAAAAATCCAGCAAAAAAATCAAAATATTTAAACCACCTAAGCACAAAGCAGAATCAAGGTGAAATAAAACTTAATTAAATAATTTCTATAGTAAATAAAACACATTTTTTTTTTCAGATAATATAAGACTTCATTTTTTTTTGTTTTTCTCTATACATACATGTTAAATAAATTACATTATAAAGTAAAATAAAGTTTCTCCATCAAATTTAATTTTTATTATAATTATTTTTCTTTATACACGCATACAAATTAAATTAAATTCCTGTATTTTTTCATGCAATATTAGGATTTCGTTTTAGTATTATTTAATATAAAATAATTAGATAAATAAAAAACTAGAAAATGATATTTTTTAAAGTAATTTATTTGTAAGAACAATTATTATTATACTAAAACGTGTGTACAAAAGAATAATTTATTAGTTTATAATATAATATAATTTACTTAGGTCGAGTAGCTGTAATAGGTAACAATAATTGTTTTAATTATTAGTGAGTTTTAATTTATTTAATAAACTTATATTTTGTTTAAATTATTTTTTTAAATGTAGTTGAATAACATAAAATATAATTTATTGGTAAATATTTTCTCGCTCAACCTGAACATGAAATATATAATATTCATAACTTTTAAAATATTTTTGTTGTTAAAAAATTTGTTATTGTTTCATCTTTAATTTAATTTATTAATATATCAACCTTAAGTATATAATCTAATGTTTTTTGAATGAAATTCAAATTACTTTTATCATGAGTTATTATCAAAATGCACACTTTTTTTAAATATATAATGAAATTTTTCTTATATTAATATCATTATCATCATCACAAATATCTTAAAATTAAAAAGTTAAGTCTTTTACAATATAGTTTTCAGTTGGTTTCCTCTGCATCAAGATCATCATTATCACTTTCAGAGTTTTTAGCATTGACTTCTTCATCGACCGGAAAATGAAATCCATTTTCATTAATCTCATTTTCAGAAGGAGTTGAAGCTATGGCTAAAGAAAATTTAGGTTTTCGACATACAAAGTATACGCTTTTATACTCGTACTGTAGCATAGATTTTGGATTTTGTGCATATTTTGTTGGAACGTTCAATATTTCTTTCTATTGAGATAAGCAATTAAATTAATTACTAGATAAATAACAATTGAAAATTCAACACTTACTTCTAACTGAAAGCCAATGCCTTTTATCACTTCTTTAATTACTTGATAGCTTGGTTCAATAGAGTTTTGATCAAAAACATTACTGTAATGATACAATAATGGCCCTAAATTGACCCATATACCTCCAGGCTTAAGTATTTTATAAATAGTTTCAATAAAGGCAACTATATTATTGGCACAGTCGATAAAAAAACAAGTGGCAATACAATTCCATTCATCTTTATCTGTATAAACCTATAATCATACAAAAAAGTTTAATATTATGAAACATTTTTTAATTAAAATTATACTTGTAAAAAATCTCCAGCAGCCATTGATATATGTGCATTTTGTGGAAGTTCTCTTGCTGGATTTATATCAGGAAATGAAATGCATTGCATTTGATGTTCAGTTTCTAAATTATTGTCACATTGATGAATCCATGGATAAAGAACATGCATATTAACACCTCGGCACCTTTAATTTATGAATAGATAGTAAAAAAATTATTAATAAAGTAATTAAATGTTAACTATTACCTGTTTAACACAAAATTTGATGCTATTAACATAAATACAGAAAATTCATTTCCTTGACTGGTATAACCTAATTTAGCAATTTCAAATACCAACCTTCCGAGACCAGCACCAGGAACCAAAATTTTTATATCAGATGGTGTGACACTATATTCATTAATTTAAATATCAATTAAATTTGTATTAAATACAATTTCAGTCATAATAAGAACTTACGAATCTAATGGGAACTCATTAAGAATTTCATCAATAATAGGTCTATAGCATGTTTTACGTTCTTCAATACCTTCAGAGCTCCAATCTCGTACAAATTGTTTCAAAGTTGATTGTACTTTTTCTAAATCGGATTCAATTGGTTTGTATTCATCAGTTGAATGCTAAAATTAAATATTTAAACATTTAAAAACCAAGAATAAATAATATTAATCCATATCCTTATATAATACAATACCTCTACATACTAAGACACTAAAAGTAAATTAATATTTATCCATTAAATGAAGTACAATTAATCCCATTGTTGATGAGGTGAAATGCAGAAATATTTGTGTAAGAAAAAATTTAAAATATCAATTTGGACGTGTCCATACATAGAGGTTTCATTGCATTAATTATATTATTATTAATATTATTATTACCCAACCATCCAAACTAGGAGTGTTTTGATTTTCAAACAAATATGCAGTATCTTTAATCATTTCTAATATAACATTATAGTTATAATCTATGCAATGTCTAATAGTTTCCAAACTGTTACTATAATTAATCAAAAGTCTTTGATGTTGTTCTGGTAATGATTTCAAGTAGTTAATGGTCTTGTTGAGCCTGCTTAAAGAATGATTTCTGAGAAAAATAAATAGATTATATCATATAATTTCTATAATTATAATTGTATAAAGAGAAACATAATTAATTAAAATTTATAGATAATAATAATTTTATACAATGATAATGCAACAATTTATAACATTTTAAATATGAAATTCTTTTTTATTGTTTTACTTTAGTAAACATTTTTATTATTTATTTATTTAATGCTTTATTCTTTGATATTTAACAGAATTACAATAGTAACATTTGCTCAAATAATTAAAAATTTGTTTATATACTTTAAATTTAATTATTTAAAAATATTTTTTAAACTTTATAACAATTTTGAATATTAATCCAAAATAGTAATATTATAATAGTCATTGTATTCCTAAATATGATTTTTTTTTGTTGCATTTATAGCTATTGAAACTATGTTAAATAATTTATATCTGTACGACAAGGTATCTTATTAGACAAAATATTTAATAAAATATAGAACAAATAACATTATTCTAGAAGAACAAGTGGCCCTAACGTAATTTAACCTAATTACAATTATAGAAACATAGACAAATTCTGAATACTATTAGCAATAGATTATTTGGTAACAAAATTAATTATGTATTAATAGTTACTGGTAATTATAAGCAGATATGATAGTTATTATCACATTTAAAGAAAAAATTTCATTTTAGGCACAAGTTACAATTTATTTGCCTAATAAATCTAAGAATTAGACATATTTAAACAATTATAGGAAACGTTTTTTGGTAAGTTAGGAAAAAGTGATCAATCCTCTGTAAGCATTTCCAGATATCCTCTTATGTTGTTAATTATCATCCCTTAGCTTAGACAGTAATAATCAATGTTAAAATGTAGTTAATTAATGATATTTATATAAAATTAGTTAATTAAAACACATTTGTTTACTAAAATATTTAACACTAGTATTATTTTTTGGATTTTGCAAAATAAAAATATAAATCTAAACAATATGATAATCCAGTAAATATGATGTATAACAAGTTGATAATAATTATATTATATGTAATGCCAATTATAAAAAAAAATTATTGATTAACGAAGCATTAAAAAAAAATATCTTTTATCATAGATAATAATAATATTAACACAAACCATACTCAAAATTGTTACCTGTAAAACATAAATGCGGTTATAATTCTTTTAAAACTCTTTTTCTCTGCTTCCATTTTTTCTTCATCTGTATGAGGAAAATTCATTATAAAATAATTTGATCGAAATGAAAATTTTCGAAAAATAAAAGGAAGAGAATATGTAAAATGGTTAAACTAAATGATTTAATAATAACGGTTTATAGGAGATAACTTAAAAGCAACATGTTACATGTGCTTACATTTAAAATTAAAAAAATAATAATAATAATAAAAATATGTATAATGAAAAATGTAGATATCGGTTTTATTGTTCTTATCAAAAAACGAATACGAACTACTCAGCCGATAACAACAACCAGCAGGTTGTCAACTTGGTTTATGTATCGTATAGTCTTATACTCAGTATAAGGTCCTATACATATAGTATACCTGAGCAGATGGTAAGGCTGTTTTGTGCACACAGAATTGTAGTTTTCCTATGAGCTACACCCATGGATATTAATATTGCTGATAAAAAACATCGTGATAACATCAAAATTCATGTTATGTGAGTTATCACTATCCACGATCATGAAGAATAGGAATTCTAATTATTAATATGTATTAATATACATTTTTTTTAATCATTATATTTCAACGACCCGATTTAAATCTAGTATGCTGCCAATTACGCACAATTAAGGTAAAATGTTTTCATTTCTTTTCTTAAGATGCTTGTGAATGATGTTAATAATCAGCATAAATTTTAGATATGTCAAATTCAAGTTGACAATAGCATCGAATTCTAACCGAGTGTAATCATTTTCCTTTAATTCTAATAATTGTAATGTAATTCTGTTGGTATTTATTCCTTTTCATTTATTTATTTTTTTTTTTTTTACTGATATATGGTGTGTAAAGTATGGATTAGGGACTTAGTTTAGATATTTATATTCTATATGCTATGTAAAACAGTTATTTCAATTAATTTTTTAATAATGGTATAAAAAATATAGTAGGTGATTTTGTATAGTTTTAATAATAAAAAATGTACCTAATATATTTTCTAATAACATGCATTTAAAGCAATCAAGAATATAGATAATTACTTAGTATTGTTATATTAAATATTAAACTTCAAAATATAAAAGTGTTTTGTGTTTATAAAATGATTAATTTTAACCTGATTGTAAAGATTATACGTATGAATGCATAATTATTTGTACCTAATAAATTTTGTTCTTTTTCTTATACAAATATTTTGTTCTTTATTTTGATACATTAATGTTTTTGCAATTATAATTCCTATATAATTTAATCAATATTATATCTATTTTCAAAAAAAATATTTTAAAAAAAACATTTATTATCCAATATTTATGATCTTCACTTCTTCACTACGCTTCGATTGCATTAAATATTTATCATCTTGATTAATTGATTATTATTCGTTTTATAATTATAAGTTAAGTTCCAAGAATCCTTATTAAATCTTCATATTTATTTAAGAACTTTGATTTTAATTGAAACAATTTATTTTAATCAGTTTGTCTCTGTATCTTTGTATGCTAATTTGTCTTATTTCTTTATTATATTTTATTTTCTTAAAATATTTATAATTTTCTTATTAATATCTGAACTTCGAAAAATACTTGAATATTAACAACTTTATATACATTATCAGGAATCTGATCTGTCTACATACAGAACTTAATACATAAACAAAACTGCTTCTCTAATAGTAACATTTATACACTTTAAAATAATTAATTTTCTATTCAATATTTTTTGTGCAAATAAATGACTTAATTAGATTATAATATTAAATTCATAGATCTATGTATTTTTAGACAATGTATATTTGGATATAAAATTGATAAGTTACACCAAGCACAAATGACTGGTAGAGAAGATGGGTTCTCAATTTTGGGACATATTGCGTCAAGGCATTTGGGCTTCGTTCACGGGAGGATGGTACTACGAGCCAAAACACAGTATTTTTACCAACACATTCCATTTATACTTATGGCTAATTCTACTTTGTTTACCATTTTTTATTCATTTGGTAATTTATTTATTTTTTATTTATTACATTATCCTGTCATATTTCTTATTACCATTGTTATATTTATATTTTATAGTATATATCAGACATGTTTGTATGGATATTGTATTCAAGTATTGTAAGTTTAATAATAACAATCATAAAACTTGTAAATTGGTCTTTGCATCATATGTTTGATACGACCGAATACATTGTAGAAGAAGACTCCAAAAAAGATAGCAATACAGAACTTGAATGTCGACGTCCTCCCCTTAAAGAGCCAAATAAGTAATGCATTTTAAGTAATTAGTTCTTATATTGTAAATATAATATATATATTTGAATTATTTAGGGAAGAAGAGGGTATTGAAATGCAAGTTCTTAGTGGAGGAGACTCTATGGACAGAAATGAACCATCAACATCTGGTGTAACATACCATCGAAATGAACCAAGTAAGATATGTGTTTTAAATCATTTACCAACATTAAAAATTAAAAATGTTTTCAATGCCAATAGTTGTTGAAAGACAAAGTAGTTCTACTAGTACTGATTCTGGATTACATCTTCAAGAGAAAATCAAAGTTGATTGGCCTTTCAAAAATTTAAGTAAGTCAATTTTTACATAACTTGATTTTATTGCTTTAAATAATAATCATTTAAATTAAATGTAGGTCATCAAAGTTTTATTGAAAAATCAAAAGAAGGTCTAATAAATAGACAAAATGACCTTCGCTGCTTACAAAGTCTTTCGGAAATATGGAAATATCGAGAGGAAAATGGTCAAGATTTTCTTACAGTTTCTACGGTTTGTTTATAATTATATATATATAAATATTGTTAGTTATATAAATACAGTTTCTTAAGGCAATAGTTTTATATCTCATTAAAATATTTGATGTCATAGGATTGTTTTCCAAATGAAAGTAATACCTTGGTGTCTAAGAGAGATACTAAATGTGCAAGCTCAGATTATTCTACTTCCAGTGATGTATTTACTAAAGAAAATAAAGGTATGATTTAATTTAATAAAATATAAATGTTTAAAATGTTGTTTATTTGATTTATATAACAGATGTAGGAAGAACCTCCAGTTACCAACTTGTTTTTACATCAAGTGATATTGACTATCCTATTGTTGAACACTGTGAAGAGCATTGCTCTAGTCATGGAATAATTCACACTACAATTGATAGTGATGATGACGAAGAAGCTGGCAGTAGATCACCTTTATTAAATTGTCATGAAGATTGGGAAAAAATATGTGCCGAGGTTAAAATTATAAAAGCTGATAGTGATATTGAAGTTGCCTTTATAGAGGAAAACAAACCTAAAGGTATATTTTAGTGAATAATTTAATGCTTTAAGTTTAAATGTACAGTAAGTCCTTGTTTTAATGTATCCTCATTTAGCATTATTTTGCTATTACGTTGTAAAAGTTATTTTGTTTTGTTAACACTAGAATGATTTCAATATGTTTTTTGTAATGCATATGTTTGTTGCGGACATACATAAATGTAGGTCCTTACGACTCATAATACATGGATGGGACCACGTAGATTAAAAATAATAGAAATCGGGAAATAATTATTATTAATATAATATTCGTATTCGTATAAAGAGAAAGGAATGATTAAGAACCGAGGGTAACACGAATATGAGCTGTCAAGACTACATTTCAAAGAATTATAAAAAAGCAATTAATAAAAGCGCATAACAAAATATGAGAGATGTTCGAATAGTAATATTACCGAGGTCAACCATTTTAATTACAATTTAACATCTCCGGGTAGTAACAGTAATTGGAAATAATGTATTACATAGAAATGCGCGGCCAATTCCCACGAGACCTATGTATATAAGGGGGTTGGGAACAGACCAATAATCAGATGTGGTTCAGTCGCAAGCACCTTCACGCCAGATCATTTCTTAATTAATGTTTTTGTACTTAGAAAAATTCTTAAATAAACAGTTAAATTATATTTGAGTATTTTTATTTGGAGTATTATCCTAAAAAACTTAACCATCGTTACGATTCAACGACGGCACGCAACATGTTCATCAAATTATGGTTATATTTATAAATATTTTAGTATTTAGTATTTAATTTCGTTGGCCTTTTTCAGATAATACTGTTATCATTTTGGATGATATACATATCTCTATCCAATAGTTACTATTTTTATTTATTTTATGTAATATGTACTATGTAATAGTTTTTTCATTTTATTGATAGTAGTTCAACAATACTTTTACTGTCAGCTATACAGTATTCATGTAGATACATTATATTACTATGTATTAATTTTTTGTTATATATTTGTTAATTAATATAGCAAAAAAATGCCTAGGTTCGCTTTCTATGGCCAAAAATATTTAAAAAAAAAAAAAAAATCAGAAAACTATAACTCTTTCTACAAAAATAATTAAATTTTGCAATTATAATACATACACGCATGGTTTTTTTATTGGCAGGAATACATTATAATAAAGTGTATGTAAAAAGTATTGTACTTAATGTTTTTTTAGGCTAACATTATGTTTTCCAGAAACCTAACCTCAACATTAAACAAGGAATTACTGTATATTGTTTTTATTATGGTAATATAAACTATGAATAATAATCAATTACAACTAATAAACTATGAAGCTATTTATTTTAATTATTTAACTAAAATAAACGTTTATTATTTTTTAATAAAAATTTTATTTAACAATGGTGAGATTATATATTACTTATAATGTAGATATTAGTATACTTTCCATAAATAATTTAAATATAATCCTTTTTTATACTAATTTATTGTTAATATTATAATATTTTATTGTATATAAAAATAATGATTTATTTCTCATATAATTTATAGTTATTGATGATAATATACTCATCAATTTGTATTTTATTTAGAAATTGTAAATGAACCCCCACTGGAATCGCCTGAAACATTAGGTATTGATTGGTTATTTGAACATACAGAAAGTGAATCAGAATCTAGTGTTATGAAAGGTAATTATTTGAACATAATATTTTTTATTATAATGTATCTTCTTCAGTATAAATTTAAATCAAAATTTTTAACATGCTACGTAAAGTAAGAAAATTGGATAAAAATAGATCAATTCCTTGGCATTTTACACTGTCTGATGATGACTATACTACAACTTCTGAAGATAACATTTCTAGTGAGTGTATTAACACGCACAAAGAATTTTTTATAATTTTATAATTCATTATGATTTACTAGTAACTTTACTTTTAATTTTTTATCTGTAATTTCTAAAAAAAAAAAAACTATAAATATTATAGAAAATAAATCTGAATCAAAAGATGAAAGTAAAGAAGAAATTCAAATTCCAACATCAATTGGATTTGAAAATACTGGCGCTATACCAAAAATTAAATGTGTGAAGGATGGTGAGATTTATTTTATTTTTTTATTTTTAATGTTTATATTTTATAAAAGGTTTTAAATTATTTTTATCTTTAGTTTTTAAATAACATTTTTGTTTAAAAGATATATATTATTATTTTTAATTTTGTAATTTTAGTAAAAAAATCAAATAAAAAAAGAAAAGCAACATCAACTCCTCATTTAAGCGTAAAGCATGATTCAGATAGAAAAAGACATCGTAGAACTAATAAAAATAAATCTAGTGGTAATAATACTTTCCAATATATAATTAATGGTATATATTATTAACTATTAAGAAGAAAAAATTACAAACCATTGATGCAATTTAAAATCTATTGTAAATCAACTAATTTTTTTATTTATTGCTTTTTTGTGAACAAACATTTGTGTAGTAAACATGCATTACAAGTTCTATGTACCAGATCCTTAGATTGTAAATTAGACACAAATTATAAATTAAAGTGGTCAATTTTAAACAGTTTTTTTTTATTTATAGTTTACTTTATCAAGTTTTAATTTGATAAATTACAAAATAATAATAATTTTTAAATATTTATTTAATTAATCATAGATTTTAATTTATTATAAATTAATTGATAAAATATCAGTCAACATTTGCTTTTTTAGTCAATCTAATATTTTGTTTTGATTCTGAACCAATAACTCTTAAGTTAAATTAGTGTTAATAATTAAAGTTTAATAAAATTTAAATAATATTACTATATACTTTTAATTTATATAGATGTATATGTTAAAACTTAAAAAATCAAATATAATATATACTATTAACTATTTATAAATAATTACATTTCATTATTTAATTAGATTTTGATTTTAACAGAGTCCAGAAGATGTATGTGTGATAAGATAAAAAGTGATATGGATTGTGGTACAGAATCAAAAAGTTATCCAACAGTTACTGATGAATGGATTGATAATAACACTCTTAGTAGACCTGATGCGTAATTATTACTATTAACTATTTCTTAATTTTAGTTTTATATAAATAATTGATTTAGTATTAGCTTAAATAATTAATTGTTATTAATTAAGTATAAATAATTATGTAAATGTAAATTAATATTAAATTAATAATTAAAATATTACAGAATGACTACATTAAATGTGAATGAAGGTGCTTCGTCATCTGCTGGTTCTCATAATGAACTTAGTTCCCTTCTACCTACAAATTCAGAACTAACTATTAACCCAACGGCAGAATCTCAACAACAAAATCAAAATTCAATCACTGTGAAAAATGAAGTTGTATTAGATCATAACACTGATGTTTTTTATAATGGACATAGTCGAGTGGAAAATAGAAATAGAATACGACATCGTCATTTTAAGTAAATATTTTTAATATTTTAACCTTAGAATTATTTTCAAATATTAATATTTTAAGTAATAGAACCAGGGGTCGCCGTATGAGATCTCGGGATGCATTTAGTTCTCCATTTTTACATGTTTCTGAGGGTTTAAGTTTTGCTACTTGTCCTGAAGATACATCAGAAGGGTCAGTATAAAAAATGTCTTATTGAACTAATAAGTATTTTTTGAATAGTAATATTATAATTAATTTGTTTTCACAGAGCGACACATTTTTTCCGTGATGAAAATGGTCAGTGGATGTCTTATACATTTCGAGATATCTTAAATAATAATTCTTCAGTGATGAAATCATTCCCATCTACATCTCGACAGGTTGATTCTACAGATGATCTCGTTTTTAATCACTCTCCTGTTTCTCGACTGTTTCCTCGTCCCAATCGTAATTATGAACACCAGTTTGAAATTGAAGAGGCATTCTGGCTGCAAAATCCACCGGGTTATCGTCATTTCAATGTGTCACCAATAATTACACCTGTTGAAGAAAGTTTAGAACATGAACATGAAAATAGAACAGATTACCAAGATGAGTTTCCAGTCATACCACGACAGCTACGATTTGATCTTCTTGATCCGAATCTTGGAATACCAAAACCTAAACGATACTATCCTTATAAACCAATCAAAAAAATGTGTTTTAAAGTTCGTTTTGATCGTCTTGCATTATTGTCTGCCATTGATCGTAATTTAACATTATTCGAACTATTTATTACCATTATTCTTGCCACAGCAGTTGCAGTTTTGGGTGCATTAGTATTGTACTATAAATTTTACAGAGATATTCATGCATTTGTTTTCTGTTTTGTTATGGCTGGTTGTCAGTACTCTTTAGTAAAATCTGTACAACCAGATGTGGCATCACCTACACACGGTTTTAACAAAATTGTTGTGTATAGTCGTCCTGTCTACTTTATTTTGTTCTCATCTATATTACTTTTGACACATATTCAATTGAATTCTGGCAAAACATTTTACCAAATTAAATTTTATGGTTTTACATTACATATTTTCTATTTATTGGAAACTATTCGTGATTTTTTGACAAACTTTTTATTATTCTTACCTATCACATTTAGTTTGGGTTTATTGCCTCAAGTTAATACCTTTTTTATGTATACTTTGGAACAAATTGATATTCATATATTTGGAGGTAATGCTACCAGTTCACTTAAAGCTTCTGCATATTGTGTATTACGAAGTTGTTTGGCTGTATCTATTTTATATGGTGTTGCATATGTGGCATTAAATGAATGGTCTGGATCATCAAAAAATGTATTTTTCTCTTTATTCTGTGCACTGCTCACTGCTATTGCCTATCATTTAAGTCGTAGTTCAAGTGATCCAGCTCCTATATTAAATATTCTGAAAACATATTTATGGCCCAATGAAGATATATTTTCCAGACCTGATGTAGAATGTCCTATACCTAGAAAAGAAACTGAAAAATTAAAGAAAAAAGATTCCGAACAAAAAGAAAGGGAATGTGAAGAACTACCAAAGTCTGGTAAAATATTTATAAACAATTAACAATAAAAATGTAATCAAAAATATTAATATTATTTTAATATTTTTTAGAATTAGAAGATGAAATTGAAATAGAAGATAACTGGCCAAAACAGTTACAAGATACAATAAATGGAAGATTAAAAACTGATTTAATTTTTTGTCCTATTATCGGTCTTATTGTTTTTGCTGTTCATTCTAGCAATATTTTTTCTGCTTTGCAACCAGAATTAAATCCAGTGAGTGAATATTTTTAGAATATTAAAATGGAAAAAGAAGTTTATTATTGCTTTTATAATTATGTATATAAACAGTAATAAATGATTTGATATATTTCATTTAAATTAATAACTAATGAACTACAATATTTATAAATTTTACAGGTTATGTGGTGTATTACTTTTAGTGTTGGATTTATCTTGCACTATATAATTCCCCAATTACGAAAACAATTGCCTTGGTTGTGTGTTGCTCACCCTATATTAAAACAATCAGAGTACAATCAGTATGAGGTTAAACAATTGGCTAAAATTATGTGGTTTGAAAAAGTAAGTATTATTTAAGATAATATATTTAACAGTTAATTTTATATGATTCAAATTTAAAATAAAAAATAATTTCTTTTAAAAAACTATTTTAGGTGTATGTATACTTATGCTTCTTTGAAAGAAATGTTCTTTATCCACTGATGTTTATTGGCTGTTTGACATCTGACAGTATAAATGTCATAAACAAATTAGGAGTTTTATTAGGTCCTTTGGTATTGTCAGTGTGTGCACTTAAATGTTTACGGTGCTCGTTTTCTCAACAATCCAATCAGTATAATATATTAGCATTTGCAGTACTATTTTTTCAATCGGACTGTGTAAATATAAAATGTTCTGAAACCTTCATTGTTGATTACTACCTTACTGCTATTGCCTATGATAAGATTTATGAATTTTTACTTAAGGTAATTTTTATAATCTATTTTATATCAGTTAACATTATTTAATAACTTATTATCTTTATTTTATTATAGTTGCAATTTGTCATTACGTACATAGCTCCATGGCAAATCACTTGGGGTTCAGCGTTTCATGCTTTTGCACAACCATTTTCTGTACCTCATTCTGCAATGATGTTCCTTCAAGCATTTTTATCTGCTGTGGTTTCTTCACCACTTTATCCTTTTTTAGGTATGTACTAAATTTAATTATACATTTTAAAAATTGAAATAAATAATTTTTTATTACAGGAAGTGCTATATTTTTGACATCTTATCCGAGACCAGTAAAGTTTTGGGAACGAGATTACAACACCAGGCGAGTTGATCATACTAATACTAAATTGTCCTCACATTTAGAACGAAACCTTGGTGCAGATGATAATAATTTAAATTCAATATTTTATGAACACCTTACTCGTCTTCTACAAAATACTCTTTGCGGTGATCTCATATTAGGACGTTGGGGTAATGTGTCACAAGGTGACTGCTTCGTCTTAGCATCCGATTACTTGAATTGTCTCGTTCACATTGTTGAAATGGGAAACAATTTAGTTACTTTTCAAATGCGTGGTCTTGAATTTCGTGGTACTTATTGTCAGCAAAGAGAAGTAGAAGCCATATCTGAAGGTGTTGGAGATAATGAAGGTATGGAAAAGATTCATTAATAATTATAAACTGTTATATAACTGTTATATAAGTATTTCTGTTGTACTTTTGCTATAACCAATGCCATATTTAATCATTGTGCTGCTTCAAGCACTAAACAAATTGCCACCTTTTAATATAAATATTTTTCTAAACTAAAAAATGTAATTAAAGCATAAAATTATAGTTGTTCCCTTTATTACTTAAAATTTTAATTATTTAAAATAAAAATATACAGCTGTTATAAAAATACATTCATATGAAAAATGTAATTATAAAAATGTGATATAAAATATAATAATAAAAAATATGATATTAAAAAATACTTAAATAGTTCATTTTTAAATTATATTCAAAATTAAATAATTAGTTGCATTTATTTTAAGGTTGCATTTAGTTCTAGTTGCACATAATAAAAATGTAATATAAAAAATTATTCGCCGCCCTAAGCACTAGCTAATAATGTTTACTGGGAAATATGGCACTGACTAACTCAGGTATCAATGGTTCAACATAATCTGTAGGATAATCTTTTTTTAATGAACAATTAATTACTTGTTTTATCAAATTTTTCCCCTTATATTTTTTACTATATATTATTTACCTTTCCCATAAGGTATATCATTATATGAGTTTAAATAAATGTTAACCAATTTTTTATTCAAATTATCAAAAATAAATACGATTTAATTTTTAAATTAATAATTAATTAATTTCTAATAATATTTTTTCAACAAGATTCAAAATAGGTTAACAATGTAACATAAAATATATTGTTAAACAATAACAGTTGATAATTAGTTTTAAATAATTATGACTAAATAACCATTTTTTTTTTTTTAGGATGTTGTTGTTGTGAACCTGGACATTTTCCTCACATTTTATCTTTAAATGCTGCTCTTGGACAACGTTGGCTTGCTTGGCAAGTAGTAGCAGCTAAGTATGTTGTACAAGGGTACAGCATATCAGATATCAATGCAGCATCAATGTTACAAGTATTTGATTTTCGAAAAGTGTTGGTTAGCTTTTATATTAAGGTGATTTTTTTACTAATACCTTATTATGAATTTTATATAAATTGTCTTATACCTATTAATATAGATATATAATATTTATTAAATTATGTTTTCAATAACTTATTACAGAGTATTATATATTATGCTATTCGTTCACCAAAACTACAGCAATGGTTGGCATCAGATGAAATCAAAGAAGGACTAAAACCAACTCTAAGCAAAAGTTTTGTAGACCTCGACCCAGTTTTTAATATAAATATTGATGAAGATTATGACTTACTTTCATGTGGTGTTACCCGTAATAGTTTTTGTTCATTTTATTTAGAGTGGATACGGTTTTGCGCATTCCAAACAGAAAATGTAAGTTAAAATTAAAATTAATCACATTTATACAAATATTTAAATCACAGAGGTATCATTAAACGCATAATTTCAAAAAAAGTTCAATTATTGCTTGTTTAAGAAAAAAAATGTTTTTAACTTATTTTCTGTAATAAGAATATTATTGTATATTTCAACATATAATAGTTACCAACAAATATTCAAAGTTATCCATAATTTTTTATTGTAAAAAATTATTTATTTAAATTTATTGAGAAAATGATACAATAATGCCAATGTGTAATATATATATATATGTGTTACTGGCAATATGGATAATCCGGTATTTTGCAAAATTCCTAGGCATTATATAAAATGCCAAAAATTACTCAGCAATATACATAATACGAGCTTTGCCTTTTTTTGCCTTTGGTATTATGTATAATGCCAATCGTGAAGTAAGCAATATGAAGAAAACAAACAAAATTGAGCATCACCTATTACCAACGACTTTACTTATCATAAATGTGCGTTACGCAATAAAGATTAATATTCTTTTACTACTATAATAATAATTCTGAGATTCAATATTGAACGTATTAATAATTTTATTACAATATCGTAATTTTTCTCGTCATTTTCATGTCTTGTTTTGGTGTTCCAATTATACATACGATTTATATGAAGTCAAATTTTTATAACAAACTACAAATTTTTTTTAAAAATTTGGCTTCTAATTCTAGTTTTTTATCTGATGAACAGTATAATGAGTTGATAAAAATTCAATCCACAAGAATTGACTAAGGATTATTAAAATGTGTTTGTAAGTCCAAGTGTCATAATAAAAAGTGTATTTGCCTTAAAAATAATATTTTTTGCACTTCAAAATGCCACTTTTCTACAACATAAGTAAATAGTAGTTTAAGTAAAATATTTATGTTATAGTAATAATATAATAACAGATAAAAATTAAATTTTGTCTGTAGTATGAGTAATAATGTATAATAATTATAAGAATCTTAATGTAATATAACATATAATAAAATGTTTTGTACTTTGCCTAAAAAAAAAAAATTGGCATTTTGCATAATACCTAAGTATTTTATAAAATACCTAAGTTATATGTAAAATAATATTGAAAATCTTATGTTTTATTCACATTGCCTAAAATGAGTTCAGCAACGTGCATCATGTCTAGGCATTTTGCAAAATACATGAATTTTCCATATTGCCAGTAACATTTATATAATTAATTTACTACATACTCAATAACTCTGATCAGTGTACAGCCAAAACTACCATACCAATTAATTAGAAATATTTAATTTCAAAATATGTTTATATAAAGACCAGAGCCCAAAACTGTTTCTACCCTTAATAATGTAATTTAATTAAAATAATAAATTATTTAAGAAATATTTTATGTTGATTTTAATAATGACCATTTAAGGTAAATTTAATTTAATATAGTACTTATAAATAAAAATCTTAAAACTAAATGACGATTATATGCTTTTCTTCAACCAAACTTTTTTTTTTTTAATACAACACTGCTTTGTCTAATTTGAAATAGTAAAATATTAACTACATACATATATACGTATACTGTAGTATAATCCCAAAACAAGAAGCACCATGGTAAAGAAGAAAGAAGGTAGAATCTTAATTGATAAATAGGAAACAGCGAAAAGGTAGAAGGAATATATTGAAGAGTTATATAAAGGAGAAGAATTCGAAGGGAGCATGTATATTGAAAAAGAAGAGGATTTCAATACTGATGCAAAAGGACCTTGTATTTTGAAAGAAGAATTTGAACGAGCATTAAGGGAGCTAAGTGATAAGAAAGCAACCGATATAGACAAAATCCCAGCGGAAATAATAAAAAATTTGGATGAAGACACAAAAAACTTCTTATTCAAATTCTTAATGATGCGTACGAAAATGGTGTAATCCCTGCTGATTTTACTCATAGTAAAACAATCACATTACCGAAAATAAGAAATTCCTCTGTTCAAATTACAGAACAATTGCCCTCCTATCGCACCAGTCTAAGATACTGTTAAACATTGTAAAAAACAGAATTAAAAAAAGAATTGATGAAGACGAATTTGGTTTTAGAAACGGAAGAGGTACAAGAGAAGCAATACTGTCTCTAAGAGAAATCATGGAAAGAAAAATAGAAATAGATAAAAGCACTCACATGGCCTTCCTAGACCTCGAGAAAGCTTTTGATAAAATAAACTGGAAGCTACTATTTATGAGTCTCCAAAACGCTGGTATAGATTGGAAAGATAGAAAATTCTTCTTTAATTTTTATAAAAATCAAGCTACAGTAATAGAGGTTAATGGTCATAAAGAAGAAGCAAAAATAAGACAAGGATGTTCACTCTCACCCTACTTATTTAAGCTTTTCATCGTAGAAGCAATAAATGAAATGAAAATCAACACAAATGGCATCTCTACTAACGGCCAGAAAATAGACTCGATCCGGTTCGCTGACGACATTGCCCTAATAGCAGAATCTGCAGAAGAATTAAATTTCATGTTAAATTACTTGGACATAGCACTAACAAAATTCAATCTTAAAATCAACATAAATAAAACAAAAGTGCTTATAGTAAGCACACCAGACCAACATTAAGATAAGGGGTGAAGCAGTTGAGCAAGTAAAGGGATTTACTACCTAGGAAACCTAATTACAGAAGATAATAGATCAATAAAAGAAGTCAAGAGAAGAATAGCTCTAACAAAGCAAGCCTTTGAAAATAAGAAATCTTTATTGACTAAAAAGAAGTTGAGCATACAAACTAGGAAGAGCTTCATAAAACCATATATCTGGAGTGTTTTACTATATGGTTGCGAGACGTGGACCCTAAAGAAATATGAAATGGAAAGATTGAAAGTAATGGAGATGTGGATTTGGAGGAGAACAACAAGGACAGCTCGGACAGAGAATAAAAGGAATGACTCCATTTTGCAAGAAATATGTGAAGAAAGAAACATAATTGTGGCTATTATGAAAAGGAAAATAAAATTTATTGGACACCTGTTAAGACATAATTATTTTTTCACGAGCATCTTGGAAGGGACGATCATTGGTAAAAGACCAAGTGGAAAACCCAGACAATCATACTTCAACAACATCAAGTAACAAATGGGTTTCACATCATACTAGCAACTAAAAAATACAGCATGTGATAGAAGAGATTGGTTATTACAACAAGGCTTTGTCTTTTTGCCTTTAGAAACTGATGATGATGATTAATTTTTGTTATCCAACACAAATCTTATCTAATTGTTAAATTATAATAGAAATGTATTGTTGTACATTTATATTGAATTTTTATTCTACCAACCTTAAACTTCTTCAATTTCTCATTTATTCTTTTTTATGTGATGTGATTAGTAGCCTATTTATTGATTGAATTATTTTGCTAATTTTAGATTCGAAAAATTACAATAGACAAAGGTAAAGATTCTTTATTGGTATCTTTATGTTTTGCTCTCAGTTTGTTGGGAAGGCGATCACTAGGTTTAGCATCACACACTACTATGTCTAGGTTTGTAATTTCTCATAATCCAAAAGTTGATTCAAATGTATATTAACAATGTATTTTTATGATTTTTAGTGTTGAGTTTTTCCTCTATGGTCTACATGCCCTTTTTAAAGGTGATTTTCGCATAACATCAGCAAGAGATGAATGGATATTTGCTGACATGGATTTGATGCGTAAAGTATTGGCTCCTGCAATTAGAATGTCATTAAAACTTCATCAAGTATGTTAACCTGCATTCAGAGTATTTTTAAAATAAAATAATGAATTAATTTAATGGTTTTTGTAAAGAATCATTTTATGGTTCCTGATGAGTATGAAGACCCAGCAGCTTTGTACAATGCTATAAATTATCTCCAAAGAAATTTAGTTATATCTCATGAAGGTGACCCAGTTTGGAGAAATGCTGTTTTATCTGGGATGCCATCATTACTTGCTTTAAGGTAAAAAGAAATAATAATCAATATTATCATGAGAATAATTTTTTTCAAAACTTCACTCTTTTACAAAGTTTTTCTTATTTAAAGTGGCTAAGTACAAAACCTATATTAATATACCACATTATAAATTGAAAGACATTTTAATAAGTGTGTACACTGTACACTACAGATTTTAACATTATTAGAAATTTTTTTTTTTCAATTATTTCTATTATTTATTCGATTTTAAAAATTATAAAATAATTGTTTTATTCAACAGACATATAATGGATGAAGGTTCAGATGAGTATAAAGTGATTATGTTGAACAAACGATTTTTAAGTTTTCGTGTTATAAAAATTAACCGTGAGTGTGTACGAGGTCTTTGGGCGGGACAACAACAAGAACTAGTATATTTACGAAATCGTAACCCTGAACGTGGTAGTATACAAAATGCCAAACAAGCTTTAAGAAATATCATAAATTCATCATGTGACCAGCCCATTGGTTATCCAATTTTTGTCTCACCATTGACAACTTCTTATGCAGAGACCAATAAACAATTGTCATCACTTATAGGTGGTTCAATTAGTTTAGGGAAAATTAAGAAAGCTATTGTCAGAGTGTGGTCTAGGTAAGTTTTTGATGTATTTTATATGCACTATTATTTTTTTTATTATATCATTTTCCTATATTTCCAGATTAAAAAGCAGATGTGTTGAGGGTTGTTCAAGTGGTAGTTCTTTACAGTCACATGATGAAGGTGGATTCGGACATGAAGGCATTTATGCTATGACTCAGTTTAATAGGCATTCCGGATATGGTACCAGAACACCTGGAAGTCAATCAATAGAAATGAGTGGAAGTGGTAGTGGAGTAGGTGGTAGTATCAGTAGCAGAAGTGGTGGTACAAGAGGTAGTACAGTTAATGTAGCTGGTAAACCAGGTTCTGCCGGTCTGGCAAACTTGGCTGGACTGTTATCATCATCTCAGTCACCAATTACCAATTCTCCACAAGCATCTGTTGACAGCAATCCTAATGAAAATTCTCCAATTCAACGCAGAGTTTTGGTAGGTTTGATACAAATTAAACTTGCATCATCTTACATTATTTTTGGCTATGATTGAATATTTAATTTAATAGATTTTGGACCCATTACAAGTGTACGATGCTATCAATTTGGGCCGTAGAATTGATGTAGTTTGGCCTGATGAAAAAATGCGAATAAGGGGTGGCCGGAGTCATTGGAAAGATTGGTTACCAGAAAAAGGAATGGAAGGATTGGTATTAATAGCTAGAAATGATATGGTATTATATAGATTTTCAATTTTTTTTTTTT